GTATTGGTGTCCCTGCGTTACCCTTACTCAGAGCAGCACAGAGCAGTCACATTGATGACAGAAGCTGTGATACTCCATCTGTCCTGTGTGCTCAAACTTATCAACTTCACAATGTTTCCTTGCAATCATTTTCCCCTAATAGTGATCTTCTGTATTAACTCTAAAGGTCAACATCTCTGAAAAAACACTTTTTTAATTTTTATTTTTGATTACAATCAGTCACTCTGAGTTTTTCATGCAGGCTGAACATTAAAATAGTCTCCTACATCTACCTCCAGCATTAGCTTTTGATGGAAAATAGATGGTAACTCAAGGATTTGAAAAGCCTGACAAATCTACGTCACACTGTCACTGAACATTCATGGACTCATCCATCTTGACTCACGGTGGGGAAGACGGCCGTTGATTTAAGCCTTATTTATGCTTCTCCGTCTGCCTCAATACAGAGACACGCTACGCCATCATCCGTTGTTGCACAGACTCAACAGGCAAGGACGGACAGGAGTCAAGCCCACTTTTCTAAAAACCCGGCAAACAACACGGAGGACGCAAGCTTTTGATTGGCCAGGAAACCGCTTCTTTTAAAATCAATAGCACTGCCTTTGCCCCCCTTAAAAAAATAAAGGGAGCCAAAGATATCTAGTGGCAGACACGGACCAGCTTGAAAATTACCTTGCAGAAAAACTCTGAAATTATGAACATTTATTCACCCGTGTACTGGAGGAGTAGAAAGATATTCCGCAAGCATTGTATTTGCACGCAAACATTACGAGGAACGTTGGTTAAGTGGTGGCGAGCGTATGAAGAGGTGGAGGGGAATGATGAGGGACAAATTTGTACATGTTAAAAAAAACACACTATAAACACAATAGTAAATCTTGGACTGGATACATGACTGTACTGGTGGCATGATACCCCAAAGATTGCTACGCCCTATATTGTCCTGGTGGGAATTTGCTTTGCAACGCTGCCAGGGTGATGAAGAAGTCCAAAGGCAAAATGTCTCCGTCAACGCATAAGCGTCTCTCCTTTGCAGAGCTGACTCAAAATCATCAACTAGGCTTAAATTAGGCTTTAGCATCCAGAAAAAGCAGAGAATGCCTCAGCTAGTAGAAGCTAACCATTAGCATTAGCAACTCCACCACACAGCAGAATTCCTCCAGGCTTGTGTTATTTGTGGAAATAAATCATCGGTGTTGCAAATCCAACTGTGCACTAGAGTCACGTTGCTGTTAGCCAGAGACGAAATGTCCAAATATCAGGAAATAAGACCCCAAATCATGCATCTAAAGCTACTTTCTCCTCCAGCTGACTTCTAGGTCCTCGAAAAGGTGCACCGGAGCTCCCCCCCCCCCCCCCCCCAGACAACAACTTACAAGACATTCATTCTTTCTACAGACCACTGCAAATTTATTAAAAATATGAGTTAAGTCGACCTTTATTGATATTATTGCAGAAGTACTTCAATCAGCTGCAACTAGCGGTTTCATGTGAGGATCAGGGTGGTAGTATTCGTAGCTCTTCACAAAGAAAACATGAGGAATTGTTTATTTACAATCAAACTGAATTTTTGTTTCAATATTTGAAAAATCATCTCAAGAGAAAGTTTGACACACAACATATACTATTGTACACATGCTTTCTGACCTAATCTGAACAGTTCTGCTGTCAAACCTGAACAAAGGAGGTTCCGTGTTGTGTTGCATAAAATACCAAGTAGTTTATTAAAGCCAGGGAGAACTAGAGAGAACAAGACAGTTCACAGTAGAAAATGTGAGAATGTTTATCTTGAAATGTTTGTGGTTGTTATGGATTTTGTCACAGTTTTGTTATGCGGGTTCATGAGGTCACTTTGCTGCTGGATGCTCATTCTTGTGATTTATACACAGTTACAGCTTTTTCAAAGAATTTTGCTGTTGATTGACTTTAATGTCCCTAATCCACAACACCCACATAGTTTTTGTTTCTATTTTATTGCTTTATTTGTTTGCAGTCAGGAAATTCCTAGTACTGATTTACTTTTGTAGAGAAAGTCCCTCCATAAATTTGTTTGAAAGGGAAACAAAAATGCACGCAAGCTATAAAACTAACTCTAATGTCTTGAAGTTCTTGTCCTTTAATTATTAAAGATAAAACAAAACATGTGAGTTTTTTTATGTTGTTGTTTTGTAAATAAAAAAAACACAATGGATTAGGTTAATTTCCAATTCAACTTTACTAAAACAATACATTCCAATGTGAGATTTGTTTGAATTAATTTTAGCCATTGATTTCCTACAAGTTCATAATGTAAGATTGACCCCCTGTGGTCAAATTTAGATACTGCAGTAGCGATGGTAAACTCGATTCTTTTTACTTAATCGAGTTTGAACGAGTCACTCACCAAAACGAATCGAGTTTTTTAATTGGTTTGAGTCACTGAGTCAGTTGCCCAGAGCCCAAAATAAAATCTACATTATCACTCAAACTTAATTTGCTCCTCTTTCCATGTAAATCCTACCACTCACTGGAGTAATGAACAAAAGAAAACAATCTATTTTATCCTCCTGAGACCCTGCGTACTTATATGAGGACATTACATTTTTGCCCTTCTGCACCATAATAATTCTTTTTTAAAAACTTTGACCTATTGGCCTCATTTGGGGCCCCTGGCAGCACCACCTAGTGGTCAAAGAACAACACTACACCCATTTACCTGAAAATAAAGTGGAGGGAGTGTCAGCCAAAAGCTGCTGTGGCCACTCCAGACACAAAAAAGAGCCAGGTAAGAGTTTAATTCAGTTTTTATCAATGAATCTGTAGTATTTATGCAAAGTAAAGTCTATTGCTTCATATGAATTGCAAATGTGTGATATTTTGAAAAGATTAGCCAAACAAAACATACCTAAACATGAAGTACTTGCTTGAGGACATCGGGATTATGTTAGGTTCTCAGTTGTGCCATGCAGTAAGATGAACTTGTAAACTTTTGCATAATTTTACAGGTGAAAATAAATATAATTAAAAAAAATTCACAACTATGTGTTCAGATAGCTTGAAAATGTTTTGAGCATAAATAAACAAGTATTTTGCGCAAGTGAGACCTTTATTCAGCTTTAGAAATAATTAGCTAGCTAACTAGCAAGCAAGTCCAAGTCATATGCATGCAATCTATGTTTTTTATAAAATTTTACTGCAGTTTGGATATTATTTTATTGTTACAGGAAAACTTTCATTGTCAAAAGCAGAACAACTGCTCAATGCAATTGCAGAAAACTCTGATGTTGAAGGTTTATCAGATAGTGAAGACAATGATCTGGCTTTGGATGGAAATGTTCCACATTTTTTTGATGATATGACTGTGGAGCATCATCCTGATGATTCAGAAGAACATCAGATGAAGATTATAGACCATCTGAAGGAGATGCTGATAGCAATGATGAAAATGAGCCACTCCATCCACATGTGCACAAACATGGGTGTCAACGACAGCGTGTTGAGAATGAATCTCTGAACAAGGATGAACCAGGACATAGAGAGCCCAGAGGAGACCCGAGCAATGATGGATGTGGACAGCACTGGAAATCTGCTCCATTTACTCCAAACATTGTCCAGTTTCAGGGTGAAGAGGGTGACCTGATAAATGAACGAGCAAATTGTGGAGTAGTATATGGACTCACAGTTGATGAAACTCCTTGCTGACTGCACAAATAGCATGTCACTAGCTAAAAATGGCAAGTTGCTCAATACTACGGTGGAAGAAATTTACCACTTTTTGGGGGCAGCAATCTTGATGTCCTGTGTGCATTATCCCCCCACAAGAATGTTCTGGTCCAATGCTTTTCAGATCCCTGCCATTAGTGACAGAATGTCACGTGATCGGTTTTTCAAACTGAGGAGCAATCTGAAAGCAGTAATTGATGATGACATTCCAGAAAACCAGAAGAAAGCGGACAGATTCTGGAAGGTGAGACCTTTTATGGATCGTGTACTCAAAGGATGTCACCTTCAGGCTCAACCAGAATGTGTCTCAATAGATGAGCAGATGATCCCGTTTACTGGAGCCTGTCCATTCCGACAGTATGTGCCACTAAAACCCAATCCAGTGGGGATGAAGAACTTTGTTCTGGCATCACCAGGTGGAATTGTGCTGGACTTTGAAGTCTATCAAGGTGCAAAAACATTGAGTTTGCAGGTTGAGGACTCAGAAGGACTGGGTTTAGGTGCACTGGTAATCAAACGTCTGTGTGGAACACTACATGCTGGTACAAAGGTGTACTGTGGTCGATTCTTCACCACCATACCAGCTGTAGATTTCATGCTGGAGAAGCAGGTGTAGCTTACTGGTACAGTGACGAAGAACCGGGTCTTCAAGGCAATGGAGAAGCTACCGAGTGACAAAACCCTGAAACAGCAAGGTAGAGGGGCCTTGCTTAGTAGTTCTATCCTTCAGGATCAGAACCACCATTTACGACACAAGTTCTAACTGCTTCCATCAGGGTGTAGACACCTTCTACCAAAATGTAGGACAAACAGATATAGAAACTCTTGTCCCTGCTGATGTTGTTCTGTCAAATAAGTCAGGTTCGTTAATTATTTTTTATGTTTTTAATGTGATTGTTTTTTACTGCTGGCTGCATACCAAATTGCCTCACGTGGACAATAAAGACCCTTGGTCCTTGAAGGAAGCATAGAAGGGTAAATGTGATAAACATCCACCCCGTCCAATGATACAATAAGTATAGCATAGGTGAACCTAAGCCATGGTGAAACATTTCCTTTTTATTTTGCTACATTTCTCATTTTTGTACTTTGCTTTACCCATGTCATTCCATAAATCCATCCCAGAAACTGACAGTCGCCCTCCTTTGTGTCGGAAGAATGTTCCATTTTTAAATTAAGTTGATCCCTTGGATTGTACTCCCTTACTGTGACTGAACGGTAATATAAGAGATGAGTACAGACGGACCCAACCTATGCCCCTCACCATAAACTGGGCCGAGGCAAGAAAGCAGTTTGAATGTTGCAAAACTGATTTATTTAAAAAAAAAAAACTATACAAATAATAATAGTTCTCACATTTACATAGAAATAATAAATACTGTTCAAATTTACATCTACTTAAGAATTTTGAATCAATCTTCAGTGTCATTGGTTGTGTTTGATTCCGTGGGCGGAGCTTCATCCTCTGAGCTGGTGTGACGAGCTGCTGTCCGAAACAATCGCATTAAATCTCGAAACCTGTGAGACACCTGAGAGACACAAGCAAAACTCGCCTTAACGAAACAGGAGCTGGTCAGCGGTCACCACAGGACTGAACAGTGAATCACCTCATTGGGGGTCTTGTTGCCAAGTAGCTTGGAGATGTTCTGAAAAGTGTTCTGATTGGCCCCTTCTTGCTGACACATGGTCAATATAACACGGTCAGCTTCTCTAAAAGCACAAACATTAAAACTGGTTACTCCACCTGTCTGCTCCATACAGACAGGAGAAGCTGCAGCAGAAAACTCACCTGGTCCAGAGGATCACCTTCTCTCCACTCGCTGTCAGTGAAATGTTTTTAGCACAAACAGGGATGTCGGAATGTGGGCTGGACACAAGAGCAGAAGAGGACGAAGGGGGCATGATGTTAAAAGGCAGCGAAGTTGAGGAAGAGGAGACAGGTGTGATGAAGGGGGAGGATGCAACAGGTGTTGGTTGTGGCAGCTCCTCTCTCCTCTTCTTGACTGCAGGACTCTCATCGTCCTCTTCTTCAGTTCCACCTGCATCATTGAGTTCCTCCTCTTCCTCGTCGTCCTCCTCCTTGTCATCAGCGAGAGGAAATGAGCCTTCCCATGATGCATTGCATTGATCTGTAGACAAAACCAGTGAGATTACAGCAAAAGCATGTCTTTTAGGTTCAGTTAGGAACATGGAACGGTTTCACTCACTTGGCTGCGGACTTTTGCTGCCAGGCTTCACGTCCAGATTTTTGTCACCAGGCTGGTTGTGTGCAGCGCTGATCTGAGAATACAGAGGGTTGAGGCTTTTCATGGCCCTGGCCTCGCCTGCCGAGCCCTGGAGAGGAGAGGAGCAGATAGGTCTGATGTTTGATCATTCACCCGTTAAACTACTATATACGCAGTATTTTCTCCATCAGTGTGTCCAGGTAGAGCAATGGTCATGGTGGAGTTTACTGTGCATGTAGCTCGTATAAAGGCTAGCAGTTAGCTTTTTCAGTTCGCCGACTGTTAATAAAAGAAGACTCATGGCAGAGCATGGAAGTAAAAGTAAGAGTAATGTCTTTGGAGGCGAAGCAAAGAGCTAAAACCAGGGCAAATATCGGCGCGGCCTACACTTTGATGCTGCGGCAGTGTTATTTACAACAAAGGTAAATGGCCTGTATTTGTATAGCACCTTCTTAGGGTTCTACAACCCCCCAAGGTGCTTAAAACACAATCAGTCATTCACCCATTCACACACACATCCACACGCTGGTGGAGATGAGCTACGATGTAGCCACAGCTGCCCTGGGGTGCACTGATTCAGGCGAGGCCTGCTGAACACTGGTGCCACCGGTCCCTCCGACTACCACTAGCAGGCCAGATGGGTTAAGCATCTTGCCCAAGGACACAGATGTAATTCTGCTTTCCAGTAACCAGTAGAGGGATAAGTGAGAAACATTTTACCATTACTGTAATCCAGGCTCCTCCTGTAGCCGTTTTTAATATTACCTTAAAACTTCACAGGATCTTTCATGGATGTAAATTCAAAGAGTCGGAGTACCCGGCCCGGAGGGTTACCGGGGTCCCACCCTGGAGCCAGGCCTGGGGTTGGGGCCCGTGAGCGAGCGCCTGGTGGCCGGGCTTTCGCCCATGGGGCCCGGCCGGGCCCAGCCCGAACCGGATACATGGGCTCATCCAACTGTGGACCCACCACCCGCAGGAGGAACATGAAGGGTCCGGTGCAATGTGGATCGGGTGGCAGACCGAGGCGGGAGCCTTGGCGGTCCGATCCCCGGACAAGAAAACTGGTTTTTGGGACATGGAACGTCACCTCGCTGGCGGGGAAGGAGCAGGAGCTTGTGGCAGAGGTTGAGCGGTACCGGCTAGATATAGTCGGACTCACCTCGACACATTGCATTGGCTCTGGAACCCAAGTCCTTGAGGGGGGTTGGACACTCTCCTTTGCTGGAGTTGCTCCGGGTGAGAGGCGGAGGGCTGGGGTTGGCTTTTTGTTAGCCCCAAGACTCTCTGCCTGTGTGTTGGGGTTTACCCCGGGGGACAAGAGGGTAGCTTCCCTGCGCCTTCGGGTCGGGGAACGGGTCCTGACTGTTGTTTGTGCTTATGGGCCAAATATCAGTTCAGAGTACCCACCCTTTCTGGAGTCCCTGGGACGAGTGCTAGATAGTGCTCCATCAGGGGACTCCATTGTCCTGCTGGGGGACTTCAATGCTCACGTGGGCAATGACAGCTTGACCTGGAGGGGTGTGATTGGGAGGAACGGCCCGCCTGATCTGAACTCGAGTGGTGTTTCGTTATTGGACTTCTGTGCAAGCAGCAGTTTGGCCATAACAAACACCATGTTCGAACATAAGGATGCCCACCGGTACACTTGGTACCAGGGCAGCCTAGGTCACAGGTCGATGATAGACTTTGTAGTCGTATCATCTGACCTGCGGCCGTATGTTTTGGACACCCGAGTGAAGAGAGGAGCGGAGCTGTCAACTGATCACCACCTGGTGGTGAGTTGGATCAGATGGCAGGGGAAGATGCCACATAGACCTGGCAGAACCAAACGCATAGTGAGGGTCTGCTGGGAACGCCTGGCAGAAGAACCTGTCAAGACGGTCTTCAACTCCCACCTCCGGCAGAGCTTTGACCACGTCCCGAGAGCAGTGGGGGACATTGACTCCAAGTGGGCCTTGTTCCACTCTAAGATTGTTGAGGCGGCTGTTGCTAGCTGTGGTCGTAAGGTGGCCGGTGCCAGTCGTGGTGGCAACCCCCGTACCCGCTGGTGGACACCAGAGGTTCGGGGAGCCGTCAGGCTGAAGAAGGAGGCCTACAGGGCGTGGCTGGTCTGTGGGTCTCCGGAGGCAGCAGACAGGTACCGGATAGCCAAGCGGGGTGCAGCAGTGGCAGTTGCCGGGGCAAAATCTCGGGCGTGGGAGGAGTTTGGTGAGGCCATGGAGAAAAACTGTCTATCGGCTCCAAAGAAGTTCTGGCAAACTGTCCGGCGCCTCAGGAGAGGAAGGCAGCAACTCGCTCACACTGTTTACAGTGGGGATGGGGAGCTGCTGGCGTCAACTGGGGCTATAGTAGGATGGTGGAAGGAATACTTTGAGGAGCTCCTCAATCCCACCTATGCGCATTCCAAGGAGGAACCAGAGCTGGGAGGCCTGGGGATGGACTGTCCAATCTCAGGGGCAGAAGTTGCTGAGGTAGTCAAACAACTACACAGCGGCGGAGCCCCGGGGGCGGACGAGGTTCGTCCTGGGTATCTCAAGGCTATGGATGTTGTAGGGCTGTCATGGTTGACACGTCTCTACAACATTGCGTGGTCATCGGGGGCAGTTCCTAGGGAGTGGCAGACCGGGGTGGTGGTCCCCATCTTTAAGAAGGGTGACCTGAGGGTGTGTTCCAACTATAGGGGGATCACACTCCTCAGCCTCCCTGGAAAGGTCTACTCCAAGGTACTGGAGAGGAGGGTCCGATCGATAGTTGAATCTCAGATAGAGGAGGAGCAATGTGGTTTTCGTCCTGGCCGTGGAACTGTGGACCAGCTCTATACCCTTGCAAGGGTGATGGAGGGGGCATGGGAGTTTGCCCAACCAATCCACATGTGTTTTGTGGATTTGGAGAAGGCTTATGACCGTGTCCCCAGGGGCACCCTGTGGGGGACGCTCCAGGATTATGGGGTGGGTGGCTTTCTGTTAAGGGCCATTCAGTCCCTTTACCAGAGGAGCGTGAGTTTGGTCCGCATAGCCGGTAGTAAGTCGGACCTGTTCCCAGTGAGGGTTGGACTCCACCAGGGCTGCCCTTTGTCACCGGTTCTGTTCATCACTTTTATGGACAGAATTTCTAGGCGCAGCCGTGGTGTGGAGTGTGTCGAGTTTGGTGGCAGGAGAATCTCGTCTCTGCTTTTTGCGGATGATGTGGTCCTCCTAGCTTCATCCAGCTCTGACCTTCAGCTCTTGCTGGGTAGGTTCGCGGCCGAGTGTGAAGCGGCTGGGATGAGGATCAGCACCTCCAAATCTGAGACCATGGTTCTCGACCGGAAAAGGGTGGCTTGCCAACTCCGCGTCAGGGGAGAGGTCCTACCTCAAGTGGAGGAGTTTAAGTATCTCGGGGTCTTGTTCACGAGTGAGGGTAGGAGGGATCGGGAGATCGACAGGCGGATTGGTTCGGCGTCTGCAGTGATGCGGACGCTGAACCGATCTGTCGTGGTGAAGAGGGAGCTGAGCCAGAAAGCCAGGCTCTCAATTTACCGGTCGATCTACGTCCCAATCCTCACCTATGGTCATGAGCTTTGGGTAATGACCGAAAGAACGAGATCGTGGATACAAGCGGACAAAATGAGTTTCCTCCGTAGGGTGGCCGGGCTCAGCCTTAGAGATAGGGTGAGGAGCTTGGGCATTCGGGAGGGACTCGGAGTAGAACCGCTGCTCCTCCAGATCGAAAGGAGTCAGTTGAGGTGGTTTGGGCATCTGGTCAGGATGCCTCCTGGACGCCTCCCTGGGGGGGGTTTTCGGGCATGTCCTGCTGGCAGGAGGCCCCCGGGTCGACCCAGGACACGTTGGAGAGGTTACATCTCCAATCTGGTCCGGGAACGCCTTGGGATTCTGCCGGAGGAGCTGGTGGACAAGGCCGGGGAGAGGACGGTCTGGAGCTCCCTAGCTGGGATGCTGCCCCCGCGACCCGGACGGATAAGCGGAGGAAGACGACGACCTTAAAACTGAAAACGAACACCTTTTAAAAGAAAGCTTTCCTCTATACCTTGTAGCCTCTGTGAGAATCCATCTTCCTCCTCTGACGCCGGCTTCTCATTGGTTGGACCTTGTGCCCCTCTTCCTCTTCTTCGAGCTCTGGCAGCGTCACCTCCTCAAAGCTGCCACTGGCTCCGTTTCCTGACACAAGGCCATTGCCCTCACCACCTTCTCCTTCCTCCAGCCAGTGGGCTTCTTCAAACTGCCCGGGACACGCTGAGGTTGGGCGGAGATCATCAAAAAATACCCAGAATTCTGCTTGTAAGTGGGTGTGGCCTTTTAGGAGGGTCCCCATCTGGGTTTTCAGCTGAAGGCAGAGACAGCTTCAAGTTAACACCAATAAGCAAATCATGAGTTTCGGCAAGTTGGACTAAAAGTGGATGAATCAGCCAGACCTCCTGGATGCTGGTAGCGTTCATGTCGGGTCCAGTTTGTAGAGCTTTGATGATCTTCTGGTAATGTGATGGATTGTCTCCAAAACTGATCTCCAACTGTCGCAGAAAACGCCGGCTGCGTTCAAATGCCTGCTGCTCCTCAAACTGCACCGGAAATGTTCAAAAATCAGAAGGTTGTCCGACACGCTGAAGGACATGAGGTGAGATTACAAACACCTGCAGACCCATAAAACTCTGTGTGCTCCCTCTGCTCACCAGTCCACACTGCAGCGCCTGCTCGGGATGCAGGAAGGCTGCAAAGTCTCTGAGGAGATCCGTGTGACTTCCCAAGATGCAGCGCAGCTTTCTGAAGAGTTGAGTCACTTCTTGTCCTTCTCCCACCTGCTCAAACCTATTAAGCAGATACACAAACTCCTCCACCTGCTCGGGTGTATCCTGCAACACCTCACGGACCTGTCAACAACAACAACAACAAAAAATCAATCCAGCTGGAGAAAATCTGCTCCTGCCTCCATCTGCTCAGTGAAATCGGACACAGAATGGCACGAACACGTGCAGGTTCTGGTGTTTTCGTCTCACCCGGTTCAGGTAACTCTGAGCAAACGCCATATCTTTACTCTCTCTGAGCGGATCATTCTCCAGAATGTTCTCGTCGTACAGCAGCAGCAGTTTGGCTGCGTCTTTACTGAAACGCTCCTGACGCGTCCTTGTCAGACCACGAAAAGGACGGCTGCGACCTGCACAGAGGAAGTCGAGAGAGTGGTTTTGCTACAAGCTACAGAAGAAAATAAAAGGAAATCATCGGACACAGGCTGACCTCGTCCGCGTCCTGGACACCTTCGTCCTCTGGGAGTCCCTTCTCCAGATGGCGTCTCCTCGTCCAAACCTGCCTTGAAGCTCTGCCCATCTCCCGCATCCTCACCTTTCACCCCATCCTCCTCCTCGTCCTCCTCCTCCTGCGAGGTTGGAGACTGGTCGTCCTCAGAGTCCCCGTCCACACACAGCCGCCGCTCCGCTGCCAGCCACGTCAGCTGCTTCATGGTCTCCTGCGGGACGTAGGACGCCACTGACTGAGGTCAGAAAAACTCAATCTGAATGACATCATCGCTCACCTGACAGCTTCCTGCTTACCTGTAACTCTGGAACTGACAGCACCGACTCCTCCGATGCTGATGACATTGCCTCTTCCTCATCCTCATCTTGTGTGAGGTCATCAAAGTCCTCCTCCTCCTCTTCTTCTTCCTCTTCTTCATCCTCCTCATCCTCTTCACCCTGCTGGTCCTTGTCTCCATCCTCTTCTCTCTCTCCTCCCTCCTCCCTTCCTCCATCCTCTTCACTCTGCTCCTCCTCACCTTCCCCACCTGTTTCCTCTTCTTCATGGCCTCCCTTTTCCTCCATCTTTTCTCCCTCTCCACCCTCCTTGCCTCCCCCAGTTCCCCCGTTGAAGCTGACAGCCATTACGCTGGTCCCCTCCACGCAATGCTGCTCCTGTTCCTCCATTTGCTGCTCCTCCTCTTTGTCTCCTGTGCAGGATGAAAGTGGACTCAGTGATGATGCAGAGCTCTCCTCCCCTTCAACATTCACCTCCTTTCCAGATATGGAGCGTGGCTGCTCCACATTGACTGTTCTGTGGAGCGCACATCCTGGTGCATCCTGGGACACGGTGGTAGAACAGGGTGCGGGTGGTGTCCACATCATTTGCACGAGGACAAAACTTTGCTCCTCCTTAGCAGAAGAACAAGGGGCATTGGGAGATGTCATGGAGCTGGACATGGACGCGAGAGGCAGGAGCAGAGGAACGGCGTTCTTCTGGCCAACAGGAAGGTTGGCAGTCTGATGTTCTGGGCCTGGAAGCACAGCGACCAATGGGAAACTCCCACAGACTGGAGACAGGGCCACTGGTAAGGCTTCTGACACAGCAGGGGGCTCCGGAATTACAGTGCCTCCAAGAGACGGGTGGGACAAGTGGCTGATTGGCTCCACCTGTTGGTCCACTGGGGCTTTGGCGAGGGGAAGCAGAGATGCATTGTGGGCCAGGGTGAAAAGGCGCTTGGGAGTGGCCCGAGGCTTTTGGGACTTATTGATATAATAGGGGTGAAGTCTGAGGGAACAGCCCGGGGGCAGGGAGGGGGGGTAAGAGCCACCTAGTCGAGTCTTCTGGATGATCAGCTGACTGTTCTGCAGGTGAGAGCCACAAAGGTGACGTGTTAGTGACCTTTGACTCGGAGTTAGTTCACAGGGAACTGACAGGTTACCCAGATTAGTCACCAGGTGACAGATGGGTCCTTTCACACATGATGGATGAGTTAGTTAGTAATAATTAGTTAGTAAGGGGACACATTAGTTTCTCATAATAACTGATAAACCAGGTGAATAAAATCCTATTTAACAGGGAATGCAAACACAAAAACTGTCTAAATATAGTTAAAACTAAAATAATATAAAAGCAGAAAAACTTGTAATTTAGCCTAAAATCTGTTTATAAAGGAAAAGCTAAAAAGGACGCTGATAGGTTAGTAAACCGATAAGTTAGGGTTGGTTAACCAGTTGGTTTGAGGGAGGTCCACAGACCTTGAGCCAGTTAGGCATGTTAGAAGTATTTCTGTCCACAGGGGGGCGCTGGTCTTCTGGGTGAACTCTGCTGCAGGCAAGTGGAAGTGAAGGGACAACTCCCTGTGTCATGAACATCTGGAGACAGAAGCGGAAACGTTAGCACTATTAAATCCAGACGTGATGATGTCACTCACGATGACGTCACCTTAATAACGCTCTCCCGCGGTGCTCTTGAACCACTCATCTCTCGAATATGTTTCCTGATGTTCCACCGACTTTTACAGAGAAGGTAGGAGCTAATCAGCTGATCTGACTGGATCGTCCCTTCAAAATGCTTCAAACCGAGCACAATCAGCCTGCAGCAAAGCATGATGGGAGGATGAAGGTTAGTGCAGAACAGCAGCCAAACTACCTCAGAAAAGACTGTGAATCTTCTCTGTGAGAGATTCCAGTCAGTTTATTCACAGCTTTCATAGCTCCATGCTGCGTAGAGGATGATTTTACGTCACAAAGTTAGAATATCATTTTTCCCCCTTTCCTTTACAGCAAGAAAAACATCTAGATCAGGGTTTCTCAACCTTTTTCAGCTAAACGCCCCCTAAGTTATGCTGAAATGCCTTACTGCCCACCAATGCAGAGAAACGGAAAGTTTTTTTGATACAAAAATCATGATTACGAAAAAAAAACTAATAACAATTCAGCCTAGACTTTGAAACTGTTTAATACAAATATGTCATAAAAAAAAGGGATCACAAAAAATTGCTTAAAGCGGAGTCATCATCGCTGTGGGTAGATTAGTGAGACCCTTGTCCCTGGTGATTTGCTGCAAGTGTTTTTGTGGATGGATTGAGAGATGTTAACTTGAGCCGTAGTGCACCTGAGGCTATCAGATTTAGCCGGTTTCGGTATTTTGATTGCATGTACAGTACCTGGCTGAATCCCTGCTCAACAAGATAAGAAGTGGGAAAAGCTATCTATCTAGATTCTAGATAGAAGTTTTGGCCCCTAATGCCCAGCCCTATCGACACCTCTTCTATACCTCACTTCATCCTTACTGATCTCAGCTACTTCCTGATCTTCTAGCTCAACCCTGAATTTCTGCTTTTCTTCCAGCTCACATCCCATCTCTAGTCTGCATCAACAAGCATGCTCTCAACTCTCAGATACACTGCATTAAATCGTTGATCTGAATTGGAACCTTTTGTAAAGTGATCTAAACTTAGTACGGCTGTCAAATTAACATGTTAGCGCAGAATAATCCATCATCATGATTAATCTGAGTCAAAATTTTGTACTAATTAAACCAACTGCTGCACAGAATGACTCAAAATCCCAGAAGGGTTTCTATTTTCACATTTTGGACAATTTGTCCAACCAGAGTTAACAGTTGATCTGGTAGTGACGGGCTGCAGAACATATCAACTCAATATTGAAGATGCTAAACAGCACATTGTCCCTCTTGATGGGAAACTTGGGCGAATAAAAAAAAAAGACAGAACAGTCAACAGATCAAGTCTCATGCACATTGTGCAGGAGGGAATTTTCTTTTCACCAAAGCACTTCCAGCTTAAAACACCACATTAACAGGAAACAATCGTTAGTCAGGGATGCTGCGAGCAAACAGACCTCAGTAAGTTTACCTCGGACAAACTGACTAAATCGCCAAGTGGATTTCAACAGACTTTTTGTTCAAGATGTTCAATAAACATGTTAGTCCCTTTATTCTCGAGTCTGTTTGCTCATGCAAAATGACATGAGATTAATAGACAAAAAAGAATGATTTTTAATTGTGATTAATCTGAATGAATCCATAACAAGCCCGTGATTAATCGAATTAAATGTTTTAACTGTTTGCCAGTCCTAAACTAAAGATTTGTGAAATTATCTAAAATGTACTTTTTTAACAACCATTTAAGCAGCTGCCACGCAAAAACATGACCTGAAAACCTTTAGAATTACATCTGATCTCAGCTGTAATAAAACACTTATCGGACCAACTGTGTGTTTCTGTACCCATCTTCTCCTGCTGTGTAAAAACTCCTGTGACGCTTGCTGTGGAGTGCAGGGTCGAGGCTGCAGACAGGAAGTAGTTCTGGGTACAGGAAGATGGATCGTGTGGCAAAAAGCCAGGCAGTGTCAGCAGGCAGCAGTGGGAAGGCATGACCTGAACACAACCAGAACCAAAAGTTGCAGATGCACACAGTGGACTGAAATACACACTAATATGTACATTTCATAGAAAAAAATTGAAACAAAGGGGCCTTCTTACTGCTGGTGGGCAGTGTCATCATGGGCAGCAAGCGTCTGAAAGCTGCAGGAACACAAAGAGCACGAGGAGACTCCTCTTTCCGCTCCACCTCCTGCAGGAGATCCAGTGCTCTCTGCAGGTTACACACTTTAAAACTGCTAGGGAGACGGATCTCCTCCCGGCAACTGGCAAACTGTTGGAGCTCCTCCTGGGAAAACAGAATGAAGTTTGTGCTGATTTCAGACTGATCCCTGAAGAACAAACATGAAATCAGGCGTGTGAAAATGGTTCAGGATTGCAGCAAGCTCACACCTGAATGATGTCGCTTTGCAGAAACCTTTAGGGACAGGTAGGGCTGTTTACTCACCAGGTAACGTTTGGTCAGACTGGCCTCATGGTTCAGGGCGCCGATGGGACGACTCAGCAGGTGAACCTGAGTCAGCAGCTGTACATGCTGAAAGGTACAGAAACATTTAGTCTATGCTTTCACCTGAAGGTCCAGGGGGATGAACATTAGATTCCTTATAGTCAGTTAGGTGCAGACTTCCACTCTGGGATTACATGTTCTACTAGGGAGGTTCTGAGCTCATTGGTCCCCAAAGAACAATGAAAACAGCTCCCTATTAGGTTTGGTAGAGACGTTTCTTTTGATATGATGCTTATTTTATTTTCTTCTCTGCATTGTCACTGGAAACCAGAACCAATCAGAATTGCACGGTTTCATACGATCAAAGAGGGAAACTGATTCTGGAGGATTAGAGTTCCCCACAGCTGGGTGAGCTTCGCCATCATGTATTTAGAAGTACTGTTTATTCACCTGCATGAGGGCATGGGAGAGGGTGAGGTAGATCATGTACCTGCTGCACCTGCTGCTGCAGCTGCAGTTTCTGGGTGCGGTCCAGACGCAGGCCGGGGATGCTCTGACCTGGTAGCGCCAACACAGAGGTAACAGCGTTGGCCGCTGGGCTTCGGAGGTGGATGGTGGTGTCCTGCAGGGCCCTCCTCTGCTGCAGAGCTTCATATTGTTTTCTGACTGTCTGTCTTCGTTCTGTTAGCAGTCCGGCTAAGGGAGCCTCAAACCTACAGAAGGAAAGGGTGCCGATTGGTTGTAATTAAATCAAACATTGCCAAACAATCGACATTTAAAATCTGGATAGTTGGTGGAAGGGAAGAAGCCATTGCTAACAACAAAGCAAACATCCCTGCTTCTTCCATTTGATCTCATTATTCTTTGAAGCTGCGGAAACCTTTTGGCGAAGATCAGTGATGTCACTTTCTGCTGCAACTGTCATTGTATGTAAATATCTTTATTACCAAATATAATAAAAGCAAATTTCTGAAAAGGTGGACTCTGTATGGAGACAACAGCGGAGAGAACAGGGCCAGAGGATTTTCCTGTCCCCTGCCATTCTCCCAGAACTCATCCATCTGTAGCCCACACTAGAAGGGTTACGTCCATCTGTAGCCAACACTAGAAGGGTTACGTCCATCTGTAGCCCACACTAGAAGGGTTACGTCCATCTGTAGCCCACACTAGAAGGGTTACGTCCATCTGTAGCCCACACTAGAAGGGTTACGTCCATCTGTAGCCCACACTAGAAGGGTTACGTCCATCTGTAGCCCACACTAGAAGGGTTACGTCCATCTGTAGCCCACACTAGAAGGGTTACGTCCATCTGTAGCCCACACTAGAAGGGTTACGTCCATCTGTAGCCCACACTAGAAGGGTTACGTCCATCTGTAGCCCACACTAGAAGGGTTACGTCCATCTGTAGCCCACACTAGAAGGGTTACGTCCATCTGTAGCCCACACTAGAAGGGTTACGTCCATCTGTAGCCCACACTAGAAGGGTTACGTCCATCTGTAGCCCACACTAGAAGGGTTACGTCCATCTGTAGCCCACACTAGAAGGGTTACGTCCATCTGTAGCCCACACTAGAAGGGTTACGTCCATCTGTAGCCCACACTAGAAGGGTTACGTCCATCTGTAGCCCACACTAGAAGGGTTACGTCCATCTGTAGCCCACACTAGAAGGGTTACGTCCATCTGTAGCCCACACTAGAAGGGTTACGTCCATCTGTAGCCCACACTATAAGGGTTACGTCCATCTGTAGCCCACACTAGAAGGGTTACGTCCATCTGTAGCCCACACTAGAAGAGTTACGTCCATCTGTAGCCCACACTAGAAGGGTTACGTCCATCTGTAGCCCACACTAGAAGGGTTACGTCCATCTATAGCCCACACTAGAAGGGTTACGTCCATCTGTAGCCCACACTAGAAGGGTTACGTCCATCTGTAGCCCACACTAGAAGGGTTAAGTCCATCTGTAGCCCACACTAGAAGGGTTACGTCCATCTGTAGCCCACACTATAAGGGTTACGTCCATCTGTAGCCCACACTAGAAGGGTTACGTCCATCTGTAGCCCACACTATAAGGGTTACGTCCATCTGTAGCCCACACTAGAAGGGTTACGTCCATCTGTAGCCCACACTAGAAGGGTTACGTCCATCTGTAGCCCACACTAGAAGGGTTACGTCCATCTATAGCCCACACTAGAAGGGTTACGTCCATCTGTAGCCCACACTATAAGGGTTACGTCCATCTGTAGCCCACACTAGAAGGGTTACGTCCATCTGTAGCCCACACTAGAAGGGTTACGTCCATCTGTAGCCCACACTAGAAGGGTTACGTCCATCTGTAGCCCACACTAGAAGGGTTACGTCCATCTGTAGCCCACACTAGAAGGGTTACGTCCATCTGTAGCCCACACTAGAAGGGTTACGTCCATCTGTAGCCCACACTAGAAGGGTTACGTCCATCTGTAGCCCACACTAGAAGGGTTACGTCCATCTGTAGCCCACACTAGAAGGGTTACGTCCATCTGTAGCCCACACTAGAAGGGTTACGTCCATCTGTAGCCCACACTAGAAGGGTTACGTCCATCTGTAGCCCACACTAGAAGGGTTACGTCCATCCACTTTAGACGTGTCTAACTGTGTGGAGGATTAATATTAAATAGCTCTCATTTATTACAGTTGCTGTGGCAAATTTTGAAAACAAATTAGCTTAAAATGTTGTTTTCATGCCACTTAACAATGCTGTAACATAGTACATATATAAAATATAATATATAGTATTGTGAAAATTTAAATATTAATAATAAAGTGGTTCTCTCGCATTTGACTAAATACCACGTCTCAGATCGAGAGCAACTATTGGACCGTCTTGCTGAACCGCCACACTTCCTGGGTCCTCCACTCATTATGCACTCATGTATTTAGCAACAGAACATCGCTGGTGTGAGAGCTTCTCCAATAATATGTGCTCTGCATAAAAAAAATATGAAATACTCAATAATATCGGAGAAGGAGAAACAGCTGGCCGCTACCACTTCAACTTTAGGACAAAATACCAGAGTCCCAAAAAGAAAAACACCATTTCAAGTGACGGACAACTAAAGATGTAGAAAACGGTGACTGGTGTTTAGTGCCATCTCGTTTCCTCTGGCAATGTGTGCTTCCAGAAGCGTCTCAGGGAAGCTACCTGGGAGGGGTGAGTGTTCTCTGACCAGGTTTGTGTTCAAACCTAGCTTGTTCAGTAGATTCGCTATAGCGGCTTTAATGATCCTCAAACTTCCAACTAACGTAAAAATAAGTTTCCTTTAATCATAACAGTTGATACTTTTAGCAAAATTGTTTTTAAAAAAGCAGGAAAATGAATTGTTACACAACTATTTTTAAAAAGTTAATCTTTAAGATAAAGTTCTACTTTTTTATCTAAAGTCTAAATTTCACCCCCTCTCAGCCTTAACCTACATCACTCATGTTTTATGTTTTCCCTGAAGGTTCTGCTGCATCTTATTCAGGCTGGGCGCGTCCGGAGCTGGCTTAGAACAATGTTCCTCTTAGCTGGATTCTACTGTTGTGCTCTTTCATCAACAGAAACACCAGCAGAGGATTTTTCTCTTCCTCCCAACCCAAATGGTCACAGCACTTCTCTGCTGCTCCATCCCAAAAGGAGGACTGACAGAACCACGGCAGGAGTCAACAGGAGGAACAAACGTGTACGACATTCGGGCCTCTTGTTAGCATCACGGGAAACAGCTCAATTAAAAATTTTAACACCAATTTGTGAAAAAGAAACGTCAATAATGATTGAACCAGATAAAAAATTGTTTAAAGGACTTTTAGAAACTATTTCCTGTCACCAGATTCATGTCCTCCTTCACGCCAGCTGGGTCTCCTGCCTGGCAGCTCCACCCTAAGCATCCATCTATTTTTGAGAAATTTACAGAGCAACCTGAAAACAATGTAGTATTAGTATAAATACCAATGAAAGTATTGAAGTAGCTTTACCGTAATGTCTGGGGAACGTTAAATTTAGGCACAGTCTCTGATGGAGCCTCTTGCTCCTCATCCTCAGCAGGAACATTTTCCTCCTGCAGCTGCAGAATGGACACAGATGAAACAGTTCAGCTGCTTGCAAACTTTAATAATAATAATAATGATAATAATAATAATGATTAGGGGTCTGCCCATGACATACATAAGGAGAAAGGGCAAACTCACAGTTTCAAAGAGTTCCTCCAACAGCTCGTTGACTTCCTTCTCTGAGAACAAAAAACAAGTTTACACTGAGTTCACATTATCAATGAGTCCGAGGTTGAGCGCCACCTACTGGTGATCTGGACGGCCCGGTCTGTCCTGTAGTCCTCTACATCTGGTTCATCCAGATCTTCCAGAAAATTGTACTCCGGGTCATCGTCATCATCACCTTCGTCTTAGACAGAAACCACATTCAGTCAGTGTTCAGCCACCTGCATCGTGTAAGGGTCAAATCTAAAATCATCGCTGATAAGTGTCCACGTCTGTGTTACTATTGACAACAGCTTCATCCTAATTACGAGCCACTACAGGTTGTGGAAAGCTCTGATAAACTGCTTGAGTGAGGAGAAAAAGTGTTTGTAGAATTAATGCCATATTAATGAAGCTGCAAGTAAAATATTTCTCAACCTAAAAAGAAAACAAGCATCTGAACCACCTGTAACCGGTTCAGGGAGGTGAAAAGTATGTTGCAGTAGTCCAAGCGTGAAGAGATGAGGGTGTTAGGGCAGAGCCACCTCCCGTTTTCTGATCAAAATAGCGATTTCAGACAACAAGATCATGTGAACGTCTAAGGTGTGTTTGTTGCAGGCGCTCCTGACTGACCCAGGATCTGTTGTGTCAAATAACTTTACATCCAGGGTTTTAAAAGTAGCAGCGCCAGGGGTGGAGTGTAGTGGGAGGCCGAGGCTTGAGCTGAAATGGTTGTTTTTTTTTTTTTTTTTTTTTTACTTGTTTTGGTGGTGTTGCTATGGTCAGCATCATTCATGGCTGTGGATGATTTGCTGCTCCCCGCTCTTTTCCTCCTGCTACTCATTTCCGTCCCCTCCCACTCGTGTGAGCGTAAGACAAGGAGAAAAGGAGATTAAGGCCTCTGACCTTCAGGGGAAGGTGCCATGAGACCCTGAAGCCACTTTGTCCAATGGCGATCCTCCTCCTGATGAGCGAGACTCTGATCATACATGTCGGCTGTGATGTCAGGAGCCAGAAGAGCTGCCTCCAGCTGATCCAGAGGAATGTCCACCAGAGGACGCTTGGAGCGTGTGCGAAAGGCCAAACAGCTGGAACCTTCATCGCTGCCACCTCCATTGTCACCAGCAGTTTTTTTGTCCAGAGTCTGAAAAGTAGACAGGCAACTGAGTATTCTATAAAATAGTCTATCAACGGTATAAATGTCCAACGCTAGCTGATCCTAGCATCATCTACAGAGCATGTAGAGCTTGGCACACACATCCTCTCTGTGGATCGAGGACACTGGTGTCATTCTAAATACTGATTATGCTCACCTGGTTTTAAAAAAAGCCTCAACTCTATTTTTTTAACCTCTAAGATGTTTTTGTAATCTAATAATTAAAATCATTTCATAAATCATTTCCACCCTAAGAGACAGACAAGTGAGACATCACCTGGTTAAACATGTTAAGCTCTTCCTCTACTGCATTCAGTCTCTCCAGAAAGGAGGACTGAGGTGGAGCAGTGCAGGTGAAGGTCACCTGATCCCTCATGTGACCTTCACCACTCTAAACAATAGACAAGGGTCAAAGGTTAGAGGTGAAGTTAGGTGAAAAGTTCAGGTGATTTTTTTTAGGGATCAAAAATCAGCTCACATGCAGGAGTTCTATGGTCTTCTGTAGCGGAGGACAAGATGGAGAGGTCAGGTGACCTTTAGGAGGTGAGGCCAGGCTATCAGCATCACTGAGGAACATCTGCACAAAGAACAGGTTGGTCTTCATTGACAAACTAGCCAGGAATATGACACCCCTAGCGGTTGGTTCGGGTAAATGCATTAGGCCCCGCCCCCTAATAAAAACTAATAGGAAAAGTTTTCTTGATTAGGAATCACAACTCCACATAAAATCACGATCCTACTGATCTGTGTAGTTCTCATCTCACCAAGTAGGTAGACAGAGCTTTTACCTAGGTTAAAAGATGGAACATTTAGCCAAATAAGTGGGTGTGGCTATGTCCAGCTAAGTGGGCGGGGTTTTAGCCTGGTAAGTAGGCGGGGCTTTAAGAAAGACAAGTAGGGACTTTCAGATGAAATGAGATGATAAGGGGCAGCAGTAGCTCAGAAGGTTGACCGGATAGTCCAGTAATCGGGAGGATGTAGGTTCGATCCTGGCTCCCACCAGAGAATGCTGCCGTTGTGTTCTTGAGCAAGACACTTGTAACAGAATGAAATGACTGTTTTCCCCTTCCTCTGACACAGGACTAGTCTGCATGAGATATGGTCTCAAGGTCTCATGCATTTGCTTCTAACCTGCTTCTTTTCAGCTCAACAGAAGAATGAAGAATGGACTCTTTTCTTTTAATTAATCAAATAACTCTATTTTAATAAGCTAATCAAACAAAGTGTAAGTCAATAAATAAGATGTGACCGATCTGTGAAATCAAACTATTAATTACTTTATTATAATCCTATAGAATATAATACGTAATATAACTTTAAATATTTTCACTTGGGACTGATCTCACGTAGCGTTAAAAGACATGACACATTCCTTTCACTGATCCAATCAGAATCTGACAGATCTGATGGAGGTGTGGTTTTGATGGTGTTTGGTAACTGTCAACTTTTCATTCGACCATAAACCATAATGTCCGAAGTATAAAACTATGCCCCGTCATCTCTTAACGCCAGTTCAAAGCGTTCTAGAGAAGTTGTCGGAGTGGCCAATCCGTAACCTTCCTCTTTAACCGAAAGAACCAACGACAAGCTGGAAAATTTGTGGCTGTTCCAACTGCTGTAACGGTTCCTTTCAGAATAAAAGCTGAACCATCAAGACCCAGGTTCGGGTCTCACCAGACGCCAATAAAATTGTCGTGATCCGGGAGTATCTCACAGACTGGTCTGGTCGGCAACCGCTGCTTTTCCTACCGGCTCGGTTCCAGAAAAGATCAAGCTGGACCTCGACATTCCTGACCTAACAGGGACTTCCACTCAGGGTATGTAGGCCGGCAAATGGCGTTGAATGTGTTTATGAATCTCCTAATCAAAGCTTAACGCAAAGACATCACCTTCAGTTCCCATCAGAACTAATCGCTTCTTCGGATTTGCTGGTTCTGAGCAACATTACACCTCACCCCATTCACCGTCTCATTCACCTTAGTTACACCATACATTTAGTGTTAAAGTTAGTCTAGTTTAATTTGTTAGCAATAAATTTTAAACTTGATTCTCTTCTGTTGTCTCCGAGTGAATACGAAGCTGTTATCTAATCCCTATATTAAAAAGTTCCAATCTTCTGGTTTAAAATAACCTCACAGATCCGTAAGGTGGATTTCATATTTCCTATGAAATTCTACGCCTTATGGCTTATTAAATAACATGTCATTTGAATCATTACACACTTAATCAGCCTTGCCTGCCGATGGTGGCTGAATGGACCAGTGGTCGCCTGTGTTCGGCAGCCTTGCTTCAGTCAGCGCGCACCACGGCAGCTGTGGCTACATTGTAGCTCACCAACACCAGTGTGTAAATGCCTATCTGTGTGTGATTCGGTGGATGACTGATTGTGTTGTGATGTGCCTTGGGGGGGTTGTAGAACCCTAGGGAGGCGCTTTACAAATACAAGTCATTTACCAGGTGAGTTAGTGGAACCATCAGTGAGCGGAAGAGTTAGAGGGGCTTTCAGCCATGTGAGTAGGCAGAACCTTGGGTTATCCTGGCTCATCCTTTTAGTAATGCTAATACACTGAGCCACATTTCCTCACTAACAATCGTGGTGGGATGAATTCTACTCAAGTCCGATTTTTGGCAGAACTTCATAAACGGAACTGAATCTGAACTCAGGAAGCCTTAGCAGGACCACTGTCAGCCTCACTCACTTCCTCAGCTGTGTCCTCTTCCTCATCCTCATCAGGACAATACTCTTCATCAGACGAGTCTTCGTCCTCCTCAAGGTTGATGTCAACAAACTGAGGAGCCTGGAGGAGAGACAGTCAGTTACAAAGATTTGTAAGGAGAGACTGGTGAGGTTGCCTTTACTGTGAGGTTACCTTTACGGTGTTAACAGGTAAGGGCTTCTGGTTCAGAGACTGCAAACAAACAGATTGAGTCAACATGCCGGTTCTGATCTCCAGATGGAATATAAGTGAGGAGTATCTGTTCACCTGTTCCTGCTGAACGGCCTGCTTCAGTCTGGACCGGGTCATCTTTGGCTCCTGGAGGAAAACAGATAGAAACTCTAGACATCAGGATCCAGAGAGTAAACACCACATAAAGACTGGAATCAGGCTGTCATCTGATCTCTGATCATTGTGAAAGAAAAAAAATACAGTCAAGACCTGTTCAACACACACACTTACAAACATAGGCAGGTTCTGAGTGTCTCTGATGGCTGCTTTCATCATGGCTACCACATGCTCATGTGTGATTACCTCCTGAAACACAACAACACGTTACCATGTGTGCATGACACTCATGCTGGACATGCTACACACACTCGCTGCTCACATGCAAGATGGCGCGCACGTTGCTGGACGTCAGGTTATGCCGTTTGGACTTCCTGTCCAGATCGATGTCCAGCCGGCCCAGTTCATCATCACTGCACTCGCTTGTCTCCATGGCAACCATTTCCTAATCCAAAACTTTCAGACCTGAGAACCAAACACAGAAAATACCAGGTATGAATGTGTGGCTCCACCTCCATCAGCTACATAAAACACACCTGGTGTTACACTCTCTTCCTGTCTGAGCTCAGAGTAATTTCTTGTAGTCAGTGATCTCTCGTCTGTACTTACAAATGTATCATCCAAAGGGCAAATGTGTTCAGCTGGATGCCACTGTGGTATCTGAATCACACAAAGAGGTCAGTGATGAATACTAATGACCAAAGTGGAGGCCCCACAGGTGTCCTGCTGGCTCAAGATGCTCCCAGGACCCCACTTGAAGCATGTCTTTTTGAATAAGTCAGTGAGATCAGAAGGAGACATGCAGCTTGCTGTGCTGTTTTATTTATTTACAATATTTTATGCAGGACGTTTCTATTTCTTGTGTCCGTACTGATGTATATATTCCACATAGCAACAACATAAATTGCCCTGCTGTGAGACAAACACATTTATTCTAAGATCACATTTCTTAGCTGAAGATGGACGTGGCCATCCTTTGGTTTGTTTGTCAATTCTGACTCTTTTCCAACATAAATATCCTGCTGATGTTTGAACTTTATGAGTTGCTTGATTTTAAGAATGTTTTGCCCTGAAATATTTTCCTTGCATTCACCCTCTCCTCGCTACAGTTTATGACTGGTACCAGTTATTAATCCGTATGAGGAGCAATCTCCCAACATCACACAGCTCTACCCCTGGCCAGAAATCTTAATGCTGGGAATCACCTGTCTTTATGAAGCTTTAACCTTGCTTATTAATTCGCGGGAAGCATTTGTAGCTGAATTATAAGCTTCTCAACTCCTCTATTAAGTCATTTATACTTTGTGTGTCTAAATTATGCCTTGTGAATCTCATACTATGAGCTGTAGTTAAAGGAAAACATCAGCTCAACGTTATCGTCCAGATAAACACACTTAGCTTTGTGCTAAGCTAGCAGACTTCGGTGCCCGCTGAGCATGCACACTCGTTCCTGCATTTGTTCTGGCGCATTTAAATAAAAAAACATAAAACAGAACCGGATCTGTGGACTCGGTTTCTTTTTGACAAATGAGGGCAGAACTCACCGTTAGATTCCTGTCCATCCAGTACTCAATTAGCTTCTGTCGTTACATTTTTCTTCTTCTACTGCTTCTTCTTCATTTGTTTAGCAAATATTGCCATGATGCACTACCGCCACCTATAGGTGTGAGTGAAAGCAGCAAGGAAATGGTTCAATTTCAATTCCTTGATGGTGATCAGCTACACAGTGTAGCCATAACGAAATACTTTTGTTTTTCCAGGGTGCAGGAGCAGGAAAAAAAATTCTCTCCAACATCTGCAATAGCTACTCATTTCCCACTGCCTCAGGAGAATTTTAACAAATCTAGACAAATGTTATTTTTATATATTTTTTTAATTTATTCTGATCAGTTCATATTTTCTGTGCTACATAAAAGTTCACTAGACTAAACATTCTTAAAGAACTATTACAATAATTTAAATCCCAGTAATTTTTCTGAGACATTGCCAATATTTTGTTTGTAACAGCCGTTATGAAGAAGGACAAGAAGTCGATTTTATACTTTTATTGTGAAATTATATAATATATGACAATATTGTATTTGATAGACATTTAAATTAGAAACAAACTCATTTACTAAAATAAAATAAGATCAAAAACACAGTAGGAAAAAGGATCTTCAAAATAAGTGCTTCAAAGATATTTTAGCTAAATTAAATATCACAAAAAGGGCAGGGCTATTGATCTCAAATGGATTATTTTGATTGAAAAAAAACTTTAAACTCAACAAAATAAAACATATTGTTAATCTGAGTTGTTTTTTGTTCAACATAAAAAACGTCATCAACACAATGACAGACTGACAAGTTGGTTAATGGTGACATCTCATCCCCAGAACCTCTGTCTGTTAGGAGGTGGAGTCGGCACCTCTTCAGGTGGAGGTGAGATGCTAAAGATGGAGCCTGCTGCCTCCACAGTAAAGATGAAGTAGAAGTTGGCAATCATCATGACAGTGCTTGGAAGGAAGGACAGACCAAAACCAAAAGCACGAATGCTGCTGTTGAATGCTGCTGCCACCCAGTAGGCCAGCCTGGAGGAACAAAACAAAATTATTTTATCTAATCTTTATTTAACCAGTCTTCTTCAGGCTCTTGGAGAGTACAGACGCTTTTATCTCCTCTCCCTCCCTCCTCCTCCCAAGGCTCTTTGTCCTGCCTGTGCACTGTGCTTTCTGCATTTTTTCTGGAAACTAGAAATTATTAAACATGGATCTGGCCAGTTGGTCTCTCAACGTGATTGACAAAATTTCTTCGACGATGAGAACGGGAGAAGGGGCTCCCGGATGCCCCTCTGGGACAGAGCCAGCTGGGTGTATCATGGACTCCTGGAAACAGTGGAACCTGATCTGCCTCTCTCAACTGTCTGTGGAGGATTCTGAAGATGTCTGGATATTTTGGTGTCATTTTGGTGTCGGGATTCTTGCTGTTTGGCCTGAGCGGTTACCTGGCATACCGAAAAATTAACGAGCTTTGGAGGAATATTGGCTTAATCTCGGAGCTCAGGGATGGAATGCATCGTGCTGTAAACTCACAAACTCATAATTGTCGAGATGAGTCGTAAGCTTGGAACTTTGGCTGAGATTCAGGCACAGAAGGTGGATACCATCAAGGAGAGAGTTGACAGATCTGCACGGATTGGAATAGATTGATTACTCCACTATTGGACCTGGAGGGGTTGAAGACCAACAGAACACTAAGGCAGAGAGGAAATTATCTCTGTCTGTCCCCAAAACAATTTTTATGTGAATCTGGTGCCCTTGAAGCCTGTGAGGCTGAAGTGAAAACTCCCCCCCAGAAGATAAGTGGAATACTGCCGTTGCTATGGAAACCCTTTCGCCCTATCCCAGCCAGGGCGGGACTGTGACCAGTGAAGGCTGTGGAAACGTATCTAGGAGTCACTGTGCCCTCTAACCCATTATCTCCCTCCCCTGTCCAAACAGAGGTGATGAGCGCTGCTCTTACGGCTGCACGCACCGAAGTGAGGAGAGTCCCAACCCTACCTCCCCACCTAGTGGACACTTAGTTGTGTAATGTCTGAAGTCTGTGTGCATATCTGTCTGAGGTGGGGTTTTTTTATGACAAAGCTGCCCTCTCTGAGGAGGGTAACTCTGAAGTGCCTTTTTTTTCCTCCCCCTGACTATCCTCATATAAACCCTCTTGATTTATAACGGTAGTGCGATTCGTGCTGCGAATGACCACAGTCACCAATTCTTGTCATGTGTCTATGTATGCATGTCTGATCTCAGAATTTTGTATACTGAAACAATTGAATTTCTCTCTGGGATTAATAAAGTATTTTTGAGTTGAATTGAATGAGTCAATTGAGAACCCATTCTCATTTACAATGACAATCTGGCCAAGAGGCAGAAGTAACAGAGACTTAATTAGCTTTATACCGAAGAAAAAAAAGATAATATAAAAACAAGATCAAAATAAGATAAAAACAGTTAGATATAAAGACAAAGGATTGTTCTCATATATAATATGTGAAGGCAATCAAAACGCACTTAAAACCATTTTAAGCACTCAGAAGCAGGCACACTGATCAGAAACTATTGATTGCAATGTATTATTGAAGGTAGATGGTGGAATGTAGGTAAAAGAAGAAGAAAATATATTTTCTATAGCGCAGGAGTGGGGAACCCTGGTCCATCGAGGGCCGCTATCCAGCATATCTTAGTTTCAACCCTGCTTCAACACACCTGATTTCAATCAGCAGGCGATTAACAGGCTTCTGCAGAGCCTGACGAGCAGCTGCACAGGTGAATCAACCACTGAATCAGAAGTGTTGGAGCAAAGACGTGCTGGATACCGGCCCTCGAGGACCAGGGTTCCCCCACGCCTGCTATAGCGCCTCTCAAGATAAAAATCACGAGGCGCTTCACAAAAACAAAATGTAAAAATATCAATAATTTAGAAAATTGTTAAAAATATATTTAAAATGAGCAAAAAATAGACAATTGTGATTAAACGTAAAGAAAGAGAGTGAATAGGAAAGAGGGAAATCAGTGGATCCTGAGGAAGGTGGAATAGGTGGGGAGAGCAGAATAAAGGGAGAGTGGTGAAGAAGGTCATACAAAAGCCAGCTTGAACAAGTGAGTCTTCAGCTGCTTTTTAAAGGAGACCACTGAGTCCACTGATCTCAGGCTCAGGGGGAGAGAGTTCCAGAGTCTGGGGGCCACAGCAGCAAACGATCTGTCAACTTTGGTCTTTAGCCTGGTGCTGCACAACCAGTAGGCTTTGATCACTGGACCTCAGGGACCTGCTGGGGTGTAGGGACTAAGAAGATCACCAATGTAAGATGGTGCTTGTCCATGTAAGGCCCTATAGACCAGAACCAGGATCTTGAAATGAACCCTGAAATTGACTGGCAGCCAATGAAGCTGGAGGAGAAGCGGGGTGATGTGGGTGTGTTTGGAGGACTTGGTCAGAAGCCGAGCACAGGCATTCTGAACCACCTGCAGACGGTTCAAGGAGGTTCTGTTCAGACACGTGAAAAGAGAGTTGCAGTAGTCTAAGCATGAGGAGATGAAGGTTTGGATAACTGTCTCAAGTTCAGAGCGGAACAGAATGGGACTCAGCTTAGCAATGTTCCTGAGATGGAAGAAGGAAGAGCGAACAAGAGAAGAAAAGGTAATGAGCTTTAGTGATTTTTGAAGCTCATTCCGCTTGATGGAAGCAGCAAACTGGAATGAGGAGCGGCCAAATGAGGTGCAAGCTTTGGGAATAATGATAGAGATTAAGTTACTAGAAGGTAAACTGTGCTTGTTGTTGGAAAATATGATGTAAATGTAAATCCTGTGGGAATGGAGTGATGGCCAGTTAACGAGTGAGTACAGATCATAATGGTGAGTAGTGAAAGGGGCACCAGTGACGAAACAGATTGCTGAGTGATAAATGACATTGAGTTTGTGAAGAAGTGTTTTAGAAGCAGTCCCATAAATGATGTCACTGTAATCCAAGATGGGAAGGATTGTCATTTTGGCCAAGATTTGCTTTAAAAGATGACTTGTTGCAGTATAGAAACCCAATTCTTGACTTGACTTAAGAAAGTAATGAATTATTGTGAATATCAAATGAAAGTGTGCCATCAAGCCAGATACCTAAATACTAATAGGAACTGACAAGCTGTACGTCTGTACCATCCAGGGAAACAATACTAAGGTGGACAGTTGATTGTGGTAAGTTATGGTTGAAGATCATGAACTTTGTTTTATTTGTGTTTAAATGAAGATGAATGTTGGAGAAGGCACATTGAAGACAATTAAAGTTGTGCTCCAAGGAGGACAAAGCTGTGTTCAAGAAAGAACTGCATGCATATAAAATTGTGTCATCTGCATATAAATGTATATGAGAACTGTCAAGAGCATGAACAATGTTATAAATATAGACTTTGAATAAGGTTGGGCCCAGTATTGACACTTGAGGAACACCCATAGATGGAGGTAGAGGAGAAGATTGGTAACCCTCTGTTCATTGTTTGCGTACGGCCTAAGATATAACTTCTAAACCATGCCACAGAGGCCTGAGAAATTCCTATATGTTTGAGCCTGCTAAGTAAGATGTTATGGTCTAACATGGTCAAATGCACCTTAAATGGTTTTACTTCAAATTGATTGATCTTATCGTAAATCAACCCTCCAGAAAATCCATGATTCTAATTCAGGAACTGATCCCTCAAACCATTACTGTCAATGACTACCCATCACTCCACTCATTTACATAAGCTAATGATCTAATTATCAAACCCTCTGACTATCGATCGTCTCTTCACACCGACATCTGTGGGGTCTCACCGTCCAAAAGCAAAGATGATTGTCAGCAGTGGGATGATCTTCAACTGCTCCTGGCTCAGATACATCGCCAAGACTACCAACTGAAGGAAGTAGATCAGGAAAAGTGAGGCGGAGTCGGAAACAAAACGTCGGTGGACACCAACTTCCTGAAGCTCTGCTTCCTTAACGTCATCAGAATAAAACGGTTGAGTTGCACCCGACCTGAGTCGACTGACCCCTAGAACCAACCAGCCTGAAAAAGAGATCAAAGACATTTAAAAAAATGTACGCATCAAATGAGGAAAACAAGACTCAAAAAGCAGGAAACGAAGGAACTCAACATCAACATGAAATTAAAGTCTTAGATCATCACACTGCTCAGTCTCAAACAGGTAAGAAAAGCAAGAGAGACAGGTGGTACATATCTACAGTATCAGCGTTGGACCTACCAAGGATGATGGGAGCAGCAGCAAACACAGAGCAACGCAGAGTGTAGACAAGCCTGAGGGGGGCGCTATCAAGCAGAGGTGCATCAAACGGCAGGAAGACAAACCCGCCCCACACCAGAAATGGGAAAAACAGCGCTGATGTCATCAAGGAGACGCCCATTTTCAGGGCATCTCGGTCAGGGCAACCACAGTCACCTGAAATGGGTAAAACAGTGTCAGCAAGCCCCACCAGATAGGTAAAACATATAGAAACTGAGACCAAGTTTGGACTTAATAATTTAACACATTCAAATTCTTTAAATAATTTATCTATTTAGTCGCATCATTTTTGGCCCTCTGTCTGCATTAGTCAAGATAAACTAAGAACACTGTGTTCTTAATTTATCTTCCGTTTGAGGAACAGCAGCAACTTTTTCTCTAGGCTGAATTCCATATTCAACGACAAAAATGATAAACCAGCCTCATAAAAATATGTCAACTACTACAAATTAAATGTAGTTCAGGTTTTAAGGCTACCTTTTTCTTAGTGTCGGCTGAATTTAGGTCACTGCTAGCTAATTACACAAACAATCGGACAGAATTCCCGGTTTTCCCTACTTCTGGTAGGTGTAGCCGTTCACAAAATCAAATCAAGTAGTTTTTAAATGTCATTTCAAATGTTCATGACATCCAGCTGAATCAATAAATAGATATAAAAAAAACAATGGAACAATGACAGAAAGGCCAATAGGCCAATCGATGAAAAAAAGCAGGTACACTTACACTTGGCAGGGGGCGCGTCCTCGGCAAATTGATCTTGGTAGCCATGTTGGCTGTAGTTGTCTCCATGAGGACTCAGAAAGGGACTCCTCTCTGATTCCCAGACTTCCTCAGTGTCTCTGGATGACAAGGGGCAGGGGAGGACAGTTACAGATGGACTGAAGACCAGAGCTGCTTTTCCTGGCAGGTGGTTCTCTTCAGCTTCCTCCTTTTTTCCCAACTCCTCACCTTTAAGCTCCTCCTCCTCTCCCCCTCCTCCCCTTTTTCCTTGTTCTGTCTTCAGCTGTCGCTCACTTTCTGTCCAACTAGATGCCTCGCGAAGAGATGAATCGGACCTCACACTCATCCCGTCACCTTTAACCTTCTGTCCTCCCATCTGTCCTGCCTGTCTCTCTGTTTGCCCATCTGTCTTATGGTCTCCAGGCCACTGCTGGGTACTCTGTTCCATCGTGTTTGACATCTTTGCTTTGTCTTCTCCTCCAGGTTCTGTCCCCCCACTGTCTTCCATCTTGGCATCCCCTGCCAAGGGATGATCATGTGTCAGCCGAGACATCTCCATCTGTCCAAGGAAACAGAAGACAGTCTCCCTTATAACCAGGTAGCAGAAAGACCAACATCTCTGACCTTTTCCATATGGATGTGAATAAAACAGGAAGCACCTCTAACATCAGTTTATTTCAGTGGTGAGTTTTTGACTGTTTTACAAAATAAAATCAGACGGATTTTTGTGTGAACAGACATTTTAACGTAAACCATCATCAGTAAGACAACCAAGAAAATTGGTCAAAAATTTGTAGTAAAAAAAACTTTTAGAAATCCTCTCAAATTTGACCCAGTGCCTAATTTTGCAGCTTGATATTAGATCGTTCAAATTCTATCTGTACACTTTTAATTCAGAAAGCTGAAAAATCTACAAACATCCTGGGATCAGATCTCTGATGGGAGTTTTATTGGGATCATCATTTCCTCCTGTTATCTAAGGTCAGGTTATAGAGGCACCAGGACCAAGAGCAAAACCCAAACCCCAGATCGTAGTTGACATATTAAATTCCCACATCTATAAATGTATATACATTCGTTCATCCATTTTATCTGAGTGCAGGTTATGGGGCGGCAGCTCCAGCAGAGGAGCACACTGTTCTCTTCCCGGCAACTTCCACAAGCTCCACCGACAGTATCAAGACGATCCCTAGCCAACGTGCAGATACAATCCCTGGTTTGACTCAGGGGCCTCCTACTGGCACGACACAGGGGCGTAGGTTTGGCATGGATGGAGGTGACGTGTCCCCACCACCAATAATTTGACCTCCTCCACTAAAAAACAAGCCATTCAATGTCTCATTACCCTAGAGGTGCAGAGAGGGTTAACTGACGTTCTCTCCTCATATGGCTAGTGTGATTGGCTGCGCGTGCCATCACGGGAGACTCACGTGAGACAAACTACGCTGGTTGTTAGCAGCACCAAAGCTTGAAGGAAAACGTACCAGTCAAATGCAAGACCCCTGTGTTTGCAATGAGACACACAAGGCCGAAAGTGAGTGTAACCAAAGGTCCTGAGAGGATGGTAGACTTACAAGTTTCCCCCAATGTCAAATCTATGCGAATGCCTGAAACGCCTACGCTAATGCCTGAAACGCCTCATGTGGCTCCTCTCGATGTAGAGGAGCAGCAGCTCTACTCTGACGCTCTCCTGAATGTCCGAGCTCTCCACCCTGTCTCTATGGCTGAGACTGGCCGCTTAACAGATTCCTCATATTTACATTCTTGTTCTTTTAAGAATAAGAATAAGAATACCTTTATTAGTCCCTCAGTGGGGAAATTGCATTATTGCAATGGCTCAGGTACAGCAGGATAGCACACAAGATATCACACAAGAGTACATAGTGTAGCGTGATGAATTGCCCATCTTTGACCTAAAAGGCCCTGCTCTATTTGCTCTGCCCAAGCAGAAACACAAGTTTCTGACACAAGCCTAATCTACAAGATGTGGGCCAAGGCCACTCATACTCTGTGCTCTTATCTAAACTGTTACTTCCCCAGACAGCACAAGAACGAAAAAAGAAGAACTCTTTTAGAAAGAACTTTTCTCTTTAAATAATAATTAAATAACTTCTGTTAGTCCAAATAATCATGTGAAGCTAATGTTCAATCAATGTGTGAAATGAGAATATTGATATTATAATCCTATGATAAGTAATATAAATTTAAATATTTACACTAGACTGATCACACGTAATGTTAAGTCACATGACACATTTCCTTTTTCTGATCCAATCAGAACCTTCCAGATCTGACGCGAGGCGTGGTTTTGTTGGTGCTTGTTAAATCGTCTTTTGTGTCAAATTCTGATTCGACCATTAATCAAAACATCCACGTTATAAAACTATGCCCCACGTCATCTTAACTGGAGTTCCAAGCATTCTAGAGAAGTTATCAGAGTGGCCAATCCGTAACTTTCCTCTTAAAGCCGAAATAACCTAACGACAAGCTGGATTAAATCTGTTGCATGTTCCACCTGCTGCAACGGTTCCTTTAGAATAAAAGCTGAACCATCACGACCCCCTTCAGGGTCTTGCTGATGCCAATAAACTGTTGTGACCTGGGAGTAACTCAAGACTGGAAGGGTCAGCAACCGCTGCATATCTACAGTCGTCGGTTCCAAGAGGGTCCAAGCTGGACCCCCGACATTCCAGATCTAAACGGGGACTTCCATTGGGGTACGTAGACTGACAGATGGCGTCTCAATGTGTGTTATAATCTCCAAACCAAAGCTTAGAGCGAAACACCATTTCACTCCCATCAGAACTAATCGTTTCTCTGGATTTGCTGGTTCTGAACATATTTCACACACAGACCAACCTCAGTCTTACTCCACCTTAGTTCATCATCACATAGTGTTTAAAGTTAGTCTTGTTTAAATTGTTTAGAAATAAATCTTTTAACTTTTTAAACCCGACTCTCTTTCTTGGAGTTGATACGAAGTGTTGCTCAATCCCTGCAATAAAAAGATCCGATCTTATGGTTAAATGTACTCAAAGATCCATTAAGGTGATGTTTCATATTTTATGATATTTTACATTCTATGGTTTCTAATTAAATATAAGAACATCTTCTCTACAATAGTAATAGTAAGTTAAGATAATTATTGCACATGCTAATGAGAGTAGTAGTTATATTGCACGTTTTGAAAAGATGATATTTGCAGTGGAAGGTTACAGATGTTTGGCTTCTATTAGCAGTGACTATTATGGAGTCTAACAGCAGCAGGGAGGAAAGATCTGCGGTATCTCTCCTTCGTACAGCGAGGGTGGATCAGTCTGTTGCTGAAACTGCTCTCCAGAGCAGACAGGGTATACTGCAGGGGGTGTGACTCATGGTCCAGGATGGATCTGAGTTTTGCCTGTACCCTCTTGTCCCCCACCTCTCGTACTGAGTCCAGAGGACAGCCCAGGACAGACCTGGACTTCTTTATCAGCCTGTCCAGCTTCTTTCTCTCCCTCTCTGTGATGCTGCTGCTCCAATACACCACACCATACAGGATTGCTGATGCCACCACAGAGTCGTAGAAGGGCTTCAGGAGTGTCCCCATCACCCCAAAAGACCGTAGTCTCCTCAGGAGGTGGAGCCTGCTCTGGCCCTTCCTTCCTGTCTGTGTTGTGAGACCAGTCCAGTTTGTTGTTCAGGTGAACACCCAGGTATTTATAGGAGTCCACTCTCTCGATGTCCGTTCCCTGGATGTTCACCGGTGAGGGGACAGCAGGCCGGCGTCTGCGAGGATCCACCACCATCTCCTTTGTTTTCCCTGCATTGATCAGGAGGTTGTTTTGCTGGCACCAGTCGACGAAGTCCTGCGTCAGTCCTCTGTACTCCACATCGTCGTCCTTGATGATCAGTCCGACAATCGCAGAGTCTTCTGAGAACTTCTGCAGGACACAGCTGTCCGTGTTGTGTCTGAGGTCAGCGGTGTAGAGGGTGAAGAGAAATGGAGCCAAGACAGTCCCCTGGGGCACAACCACACTGCAGGTCAGTGGGTCAGACACACAGTCCCGGGATCTCACAAACTGGGGCCGGTTTGTGAGGTAGCTCAGGATTCACTCTGCCAGGTCCTCTCCAGTTTAGTTTTCAGAATCCCTGGCTGGATGGTGTTAAAAGCACTGGGAAAAAAATCAATGAACATGATTCTCACTGTGCTGCCAGGCTTCTCCAGGTGAGCCAAAGCACGATGTAGTAGACAGGTGACTGCACCTTCTACTCCAACCACTGGTCAGTAAGCAAACTGCAATGGATACGTCGAAGGTCCCACAGTAGACCGGAGGTGTCCCAGGATCAGTCTCTCCAGTGTCTTCATCAGGTGGGATGTGAGAGCCACCGGCCGGTAGCTACTGAGCTCATTAGCTTTTCGTGTCTTCGGCACTGGAACCACACAGGAGGTCTTCCAGAGCTGAGGTACCACCCTCAACTTGAGGCTCAGGTTGAAGACATGCTCTATAACTCCACTCAGTTCATCTGCGCAGGATTTAAGGAGACTGGAGCTAATATTGTCAGGACCAGCAGCTTTTTTCGCTTTGATCTGCATCTGCTCTCTCGTCACCTGGCCTGTTGTAAAGGAGAGGAGTGGGCAGTGGGGCTCTGTACTGGGGAGGGGGCCGAGTTCTGGGGGATGCACGATGGTGCGAATGGAGGAGCCAGAGGTGTGAAGGGCTGTAGTTGTAGGGGGTCTTCCAGGTGTCGAGTTATTTGAATGAGGCTGTGTGGGGGAAGGGGTGGGTGCTTGGTCAAACCTATTGAAATACAGGTTTAGGTAGTTGGGCCACTTCAGGTCCCCCTCCCCCTGTGAGTGGGGTGTTTTGCTTCTCCATTTTCCTATTGTAGCTGGCCTCCCTAATCTTCCTCCTCAGCTCCTTCTGAACGGTTCTCAGCTACTCATTGTCCCCAGATTTGAAGGCTCTCTTTTTCTCCTTTAAGAGAGTTTTGATGTTGGGGGTGATCCATGGTTTGGTGTTCGCGGAGCACCACACCGTCCTGGAGGGAACGGTGTTCTCAAAACAGAAGTTTATGTAGTCCGTGATGCAATCTGTGATGGCATTAATGTCTTCCCCATGTGGATCACAGAGATCTGTCCACACCGTGGTGTTGAAGCAGTCCCTGAGAACCTCCTCACACTCATCAGTCCACCTCCTCACTGTACGTGGGGCCACAACCTGCCTGTTTAGATTTCACCTAAAGCTTTTGAGTAACCTATAGGTAAGGCCTGGGACAATTATTCACAATTAAGAGTTTCCCCTGCATCTCTGTGAACTTGACAAGCTCTTCACTGCTTTCTTGTATTGCTTTGCAAGATAAAATATACATATATATATATACATATATATATATATATATATATACATATATATATATATATATATATATATATATATATATATATATAGGCTTTTGCACTTTTTGAGCAGGACCTGTTTCAATAAATTCCAGATGCAAAAGAAGTGCTGGAAATGCTCTATATTAAACTTTCATAAATCACAAACTGGATTAGGGTTAGTCAACCCAGTACACAGTCTCAGAATAATCTGTGGTTTTGAGCTGTCTGCTCTAATAAAGGATGGTTTCACCAACCACAAACTAAAATCTGGACACATTCTGCTAGAATCAGTTGAAATGGTTCTTTAGCCATTTTTCTAAATGGAAATTAGAAATAGAAAGAAACTTCAGCTCCATGAACTTTAGCTGCAACATAGGCTGTTTATTGTTGTTTTGAATAGGCCTGCATTTACATATGAGGTATTTGTCTGCTCCTGCATCAGAAGCCATCAATATGTCACATTATGCTGAATTTATGAGTACCATGTTGGAATTGGTTAAACACTTGCGCGATTAATCGTGAATAAATACTAATATTTTCTTGACTGACCGCCCTAATCAAGTTTTATTTTGTTTTCGATAAAGAGACCAGAGGCACTGTCAAAGACATCATGGCTTCCTGGGTTGTTGCTTTTTTTAACATCTATCTTGATTCTTTTAAAGAATTTTAAGACAGTGTTTACAATCTGACGTCATTGGGGACACGCGATCACCTGGAATCACCTGTTGACCAGAGACGAGCTAACATGCTAACATCATGGAAAGCGTCACAAACAAACACATCTGGGTCCAGTACCTGGTTCTGGTCCTCGGTCCTTCTTTCTCCAGTTTTATTTAAGGTTCTTGTTTTGTTTTTTTTCCTGGACCTGAGTTCTCACCTCTAACTTCTGCCACCTGGAAATTCTGTTGTGAAATTTTGCGGAAGTCAACGTCAGGTGTGGTCTCTCAGGTAAATAAGAAAGCCTGCTTAAAGGGCCAGTATTGGTTAAATGCCTGCCGACAGAAAATCCTCCCAGGTGATCAGAAAGCCTCTGAAAAGCAAACAGCGTTTATTGAAACTGAGCATTATTATTGTCCCTCAGTGGGGAAATGTTTCAGTCTTCCATTCTGAGCAGGATGGATGTTCAATAAATTCCTTAATTACGCAGAAAAATCTTTAGTTTCGTTTAGTTTAGTTTAAAGCTTTCAAACGTGTAAAAAGGACAAAATAAGCAAACATTTTCACACATAATTGAAAGATGCAACTAAAAAATAATAAAATGGAGAAATCATAACTTTGAATAAAATAATAAATTTCCATGTCTGAAAAGGAGAAGATGGAAGTAAAACATGACCCACCCCTTCCTTTTAAGTTAATGTCATTTACTAATTGGGCTTCCAATCATAATCGAATACTATCAATCTCAACAATACTCTTCACATATCATACAATCATAGCCAAGAGCTTCACACCAATATCTAACCTATAAAAAATTATTAAATAAACAATATTCACCTACTGACCATGAAAAAAAATGCACTGTTTCTTAAACTCACTAATATTCAGACATTCCCCGAGCATCCACTTCAAACATTTTCATAATTTAACCACAAACCCAAATACAAACACTTGATAATGAGGACAAACAGCCATTTTTACCGCAGTTTTGCTCAAAAACATCAGTTCAGTCCTTGTGATCCACTCGCTGTTTACCTCCTCTTTCCCTCCTCAGCTGTGGGAGCTCTGTGAAGCTGACCCCCGTCAGCTTCAAAAGTGCAGGCAAATAGGCTGCTCGATTAACTACAGGGGTGAGGAGGACTAATGCAAACAAATGGGAATTACAAGGGAGGAGGAAAACATGAGGAAAGCCTAGAGGGAGCTGGGGAACACAAGAAGACACATGAGGAGAACCTGAGGGAGAACAGGAGGGGGCTGGGGACCAAGGGGACACAGAACATGACACATTCACCTGGAAAACCAGAAATTAGTTTTTAAACTCTAAAGAAAATTTTGAACAGGACATAGCGGAGAAACGACAGACTCTAAATGATGTGAAGAAATGTTTAAAAGCTGAAAACATTCATCTGGAGAACCAGAAATCAGAGTTTGAGCAGAAAAAGACAGAATTACAGCATTAGATTAGATAGACAATTTCTGCTCAAAGAGGAATTAAATATTCAACTTCTCAGAGAGAATCTGAAGGAAGAGAAATGGGAGTTTATTAAAGCAGTAGAAGAAGCTAAAAGTGATTTCAATGAAAGTCTAATTTAAATGAGAGTTTAAAATGTATGATCATTGCGAGTCTGTGTGTGTATGTGTTTGTGGGGGGTGCAGTGTGTGCGTGCGTGCATGTGGCAAGGACGGGGAGCGTGAAGGATCAAGCCTGGGGTACCAAATTCGGTAGAGTCAGCCCTGGTGTTACCTGACACCTGATGATAGGCCCTAGGTAGGCGGCCTTGGGGATCAACCCAGCGGCATGATGACTGAACTTTTCGGAACTGATCTGCTCTGGGTGGCTGCATGTTGGAGTAGCTCTGTTGACGATATGTAAGTTTTGTCTTTTCTTGGACATTTTTTCTTCAAAGTTTCTCAAGAAAAACGTTTTTTTTTTTTGGACGTTTTACTTTTCTGTTTCTGGTGCTGTGAAGCTTGGAGGATTTTTTTCTGCAATTGTTTTGCTTTTTTCACTTTTTGAGCATTTGTTATGATGCGTAACCATGGCAACAAGTTGGTTTACAAGCTGGTTTACAGCTGATTAACATTGGAAAGGCTGAAATACAGGTGCTGGCCAGTAAATTAGAATATCATCAAAAGGTTGAAAATATTTCAGTAATTCCATTCAAAACGTGAAACTTGTACATTATATTCATGCAATGCACACAGACCAATGTATTTCCGATGTTTATTACGTTTAATTTTGATATTTATAGGTGACAACCAATGAAAACATCAAATCTGGTATCTCAGAAAATTAGAATATTCTAAAGGCCAATGAAAAAATGTTTGTTTCTCTAATGTTGGCCAACTGAAAAGAATGAACATGAAAAGAATGTGCATGTATAGCACTCAATACTTAGTCGGGGCTCCTTTTGCCTCAATAACTGCAGTAATGCGGCGTGGCATGGACTCGATCAGTCTGTGGCACTGCTCAGGTGTTATGAGAGCCCAGGTTGCTCTGATAGTCGTCTTCAGCTCCTCTGCATTGTTGGGTCTAGCGTATTGCATCCTCCGCTTCACAATACCCCATAGATTTTCTATGGGGTTAAGGTCAGGCGAGTTTGCTGGCCAATCAAGGACAGGGATACCATGGTCCTTGAACCAGGTGCTGGTGGTTTTGGCACTGTGTGCAGGTGCCAAGTCCTGTTGAAAGGTGAAGTCTGCATCCCCATAAAGTTGGTCAGCAGCAGGAAGCATGAAGTGCTCTAAAACTTCCTGGTAGACGGCTGCATTGACCCTGGACCTCAGGAAACAGAGTGGGCCAACACCGGCAGATGACATGGCACCCCACACCATCACTGACGGTGGAAACTTTACACTGGACCTCATGCAACGTGGATTCTGTGCTTCTCCGCTCTTCCTCCAGACTCTGGGTCCTTGATTTCCAAAGGAAATGCAGAACTTGCTTTCATCAGAAAACATAACTTTGGACCACTCAGCATCAGTCCAGTCCTTTTTGTCCTTGGCCCAGGCGAGACGCTTCTTGCGCTGTTTCTTGTTCAAGAGTGGCTTGACACACGGAATGCGACACCTGAATCCCATGTCTTTCATGAGTCTCCTCGTGGTGGTTCTTGAAGCGCTGACTCCAGCTGCAGTCCACTCTTTGTGGATCTCCCCCACATTTTTGAATGGGTTTGTCGTCACAATTCTCTGCAGGGTGCGGTTATCCCTAGAGCTTGTACACTTTTTTCTACCACATTTTTTCCGTCCCTTCGCCTGTCTGTTAATGTGCTTGGACACAGAGCTCTGCGAAGAGCCAGCTTCTTTAGCAATCACCTTTTGTGTCTTGCCCTCCTTGTGCAAGGTGTCAATGATTGTCTTTTGGACAGCTGTTAAGTCAGAAGTCTTCCCCATGATTGTGGTGCCTTCAAAACAAGACTGAGGGACCTTTTAAAGGCCTTTGCAGGTGTTTTGAGTAAATCAGCTGATTAGAGTGGCAGCAGGTGTCTTCTATATTCAGCCTTTTCAGAATATTCTAATTTTTTGAGATACCAAATTTGGAGTTTTCATTAGTTGTCACTTATGAATATCAAATTTAAATGTAATGAACATTGGAAATACATTGGTCTGTGTGCATTGCATGAATATAATGTACAAGTTTCACGTTTTGAATGGAATTACTGAAATATTTTCAACCTTTTGATGATATTCTAATTTACTGGCCAGCACCTGTAATACCTCAACCGAAGCCACCAGAGGTGGAAAGTAACGAATTACATTTACTCACGTTACTGTAATTGAGTAGCTTTTTTTGTTTATTTATACTTTTCAAGTTGTTTTTAAAATCTGTACATTTACTTTTACTTCAATTCAATTCAAAAATACTTTATTAATCCCAGAGGGAAATTGATTGCTGTAGTAGCTCAGAATAATAATAATAATCAAGTCGTCAAAGAGTTATTGTACATCACAATGGCTGTTGGCAGGAAGGATCTCCAGTAGTGGTCAGTGTTGCAGCAAAACTGAAGAAGCCTCTGACTGAAGACACTCTTCCGTTGTCAGACAGTCTTGTGAAGAGAATGCTCAGGATTGTAATTTTCTTGATTCTCTCCTCCAGCGGTTCCAAAACTGCCGAAACTCTGGCTGAGTCCTTGAAAGGGCTTGGAGTTCCTCCATCTTGTTGGCCAGTGATCTCACATTGCCCATTATGATCGATGGAGGAGATGGTTTGAATTTCCTCTTTCTCTGTCTCCCATTTTGCTTCCGCTCTGCATCAACGCTTCTTGCGCTTTAGCTCATTTGGGATTTGTGGCTTCAGTTGAGGTATTATTTCAGCCTTTCCAATGTTAATCAGCTGCTCCCGATTGTAAACCAGCTTGTTGCCATGGTTACGCATCATAACAAATGCTCAAAAAGTGAAAAAAGCTAAAAAAAAAAGCAGTAAAAATCCTCCAAGCTTCACAGCACCAGAAACAGAAAAGTGTCGAAAAAATACGGTTTTTCTTGAGAAACGAGAAGAAAAAATGCCCAAGAAAAGGCAAAACTTACATATCGTCAACAGAGCTACTCCAGCATGCAGCCACCCAGAGCAGCGCAGTTCCAGAAAAAAAAGAACTTTGCTTCATTTAGTCACATATTCAACATTTTGCTATAATTTACCTCAATTTTTATTTTTTTTCTGTTGCAAGACACTGTTCCAAGTTCTCTCTATCATCCACCATTATCCATCCATTCCTTATTTTAGTGGAATTTACTTTCAACATTTTCTTTGTGAAAGCTTACAGCAAAAAGGTGACAAAAAGTCATAAAAGCATTTGATTATATTTATAGTGAGAGGAACAGCAGAGAGCAATAAACACAATTCAGTCACTACATTTAAACTACAGCAAATAAAACAGTTTAGCATGTCACACCTGGATCTTACAGCATAACATCTGGATGTTACAGCATAACATCTGGATGTTACAGCATCACATCTGGATATTAAAGCATCACATCTGGATGTTACATAACCATTGGATGTTCCAGCATAACATCTGGATGTTCTGGCGTCACACCTGGTTGTTACAGCATCACTGCTGGATGTTACAACATCACATCTGGATGTTACATAAACTTTGGACGTTCCAGCATCACATTTGGATGTTCCAGCATCACATCTGGATGCTACATCATATCAGGATGTTACAGGGCCGCATTTGGATGCTACAACATCACATCTAGATATTACAGCTTCACATCTGGATATTACACCATCACAACTGAACGTTACAACATCACATCTGGATGTTACAGCATCACATCTGCATGTTACAACATCAACTCTGGATGTTACATAACCTTTGGAGGTTCTGGCATTGCATCTGGATGCTAATACATCACATCTGGATGTTACAACATCTACTCTGGATGTTACATAACCTTTGGAGGTTCTGGCATTGCATCTGGATGCTAATACATCACATCTGGATGTTACAGAGTCACATCTGTCAATGGTCAGAAAATGTTTGGACAAAAAAAAATTACAAACTGAAAAAAGTGCAGCTTTTGACTGAACATCTATCACATACTTAAAAATCTAATTTAAGCACTTCCTGTTTTCAGTCAGCAGATTAACATAACATTTCAAGTTTATAGTGTTTAGCAAACAGAACACAGAGACAGCATCCACGGATACAGCGTCCGTGGAGATGAAGTCCAGCAGGTATTTGGGTTTTTAGACACTTTATAGCTGAAGCTTGCAAGTGTTTGAACAACCACTTCATAATCATCATCAATCACATTTCAGCACTAACAGCTGATCAGTTAACTCTTATTCTACACAAGACACAGCCATGCTAACATGCTAACATACATTAGCCGTGATGTCATCAGGCTCATTTGTATCAAATGTAAATAAAAATGTTTTGGCTTCAGGTGAAAACAGAGTCTAAATATTCCTACATCAAACATTTCTAAAACTACATGTCTTTTTAAATAAAGTTCATGCTGAATAAACAGGTCAAAGGCATTCTGGGAAATGTAGTGTGGTGACAATCATTTGTCTGCTTCAAACAAACATATGGACCGCCACCTTGGTTCTGATTGGTCCCAAATGTTTATGTTATAACTGGATTCTAATCAAACTACAGCAGAGAGTCCAGAAACCCAGTTTAAAAATAGGTCCTGTTCTGTTCCAGTTCATCCTTCAGATCAGTGGTTCCCAACCTGGGGTCAGCGACCACTCACACCCATGCCCATCCTACAAAACTGCATCTATTTATCTTCCACTGGAACTACAACAACCCCCACAGTTATGTTTGTGCTGAGGTTGGGAGGTTACCAAGTTAATACTTTTATAAATTACGTAAAAATAAAAATCACAATAACAACAAATAATATCATCAAATGTAAGTATATGAGGTAAAACTCTACATGGCTAAATAAAGTGTGTGTTTAACATGTTTATGTTTATTTATTTGGCAGACGCTTTTATCCAAAGCGACGTACAATTGTTAACCTACAGGGCATGTTGTGATCTGAGGGGGAAACCGGAGTACCTGGAGGAAACCCACACATGTATGGGGAGAACATGCAACTCCACGCAGAAGGCCACAGCCGAGTTTCGAACCTGCAACCTTCTTGCTGCGAGGCAACAGTGCTAACAACTGCGCCACCATGCAGCCCATATACTGTGTATATAATGGACAAATCCTCAGGCATGTCACCCGTAGGTTAATGAAGAGCTGCCAAAGGAGCAGATCCCACCACCGCCATCATGGCTGTGTCGTACATTTCTTCAAACCCCAGAAAATACAAACATTGAGCTGTGAGGGTGGGGGCAGATTATTGACACCCATCAATTGTTGAGCTGATGTCGCTACGAGCTAACTGACGCCAACGAAGGTTGGCGGGCACTTTTAGCCAGAAAACCGCGGTTGAGCGACTCTGCTACACTCGGTCTTCTAGGCTACAACACTTTAAGTGTGAGGCCGAAGCTGCTAGCGCTGGCTCATCTGTTATTTGTCTTGGGAAGTTGGAATTTTAACATGGGAGTCAACTGGAACTTGCTCCTTTTTGGTGCTAGCCCCTAGTGGGTGAGGGAGGAACAAACTTTTTTGTCACTTCCTTTTTGGCTTTACTTTGGCAGCCAGAGTTTCCCACTTGGCATTTCCTCACTTAATGTGTGAATGTGGGTAGGAGATTGTGTTGGGTTTCCTTGGCTTGTCTTGGACACAGGCAAAGGGGGGCCTCGAGGGAAAGGTTTGGGAACCACTGCTTTAGATCAGCACAAGAACTGGACCATTTATACCTCAGAACCATATCAGAGTCTCAGGAAATCTTTTCCAGCAGGCTGTTGTGTGTTTTTTTTAACACCCAAGTCCATCTAAAAAAACTGCATCTATTTATCTTCCAAAGGAACTACAACAACCCAGAGTCCTCCTGTCCTCTCAGACCGTGGGTCATCCAGACAAAAGGTTCTGGTTCTGCTCCTGTTAAAGCAAGTTGTTTTTTATCCATCTAAAAAGCTAAACCGGTATTCTCAGTTTGATTAAAACTGGATTTGATGCTGGTTCTATGATGGAGCAGGTGTAGCCTCGCCTCTCGCCTGCTCGTCAAGGGTCCCAGCTCCTGAGATCCTGAGCCAGATTAAAAAGGTACAGAAACTAGATGAATCTGGATTGGACCCGTTTTGTTTTCCCCGTAAAGAACCCTGATAACCTTTATTGTGAAAGTTTCTAAACAACTTTGGGTCAGGGTTTGCCGATCCACCAGGTTCTGACCACTAATCTGAGGGGTTCTGCTGCTCTTGCTGGGTTCTGGCTCTATGTTCTGAATGCCCTGTCAGGTCCTGACCCCCTAACCCTGACCCATTTTTAAGGTGGTAGTGGTGGGAGGGAGGGGTCCATCTTCGAGGATTATGTTAGCTTAAGGTCCCCAACAAACAACCAGGAATAAACCACTCACTCAGCAGAATGGATCCAGCCAGGAAAAAGAACAACATAGACACAACAGACTCCTCCCACCTGCCCAAAAACCGTTTTTCTATGCCCCTCCCTTTGTAAAGCTCCACCCACTTCAGACAGTGGATAAAGCTCCAACACACATTGGCACAAACAGGTCACATGGTTCTACTTCCTGTTTCTAACTAACAGCAACATTCAGAAATGAGAAATATTGGTCAGCTGAGATCAGATGTTTGGTCTAAAACAGGAAATGACATCATCACCAATGCCTTTCACCATAAAAGTCCAACAACGAGTTGATGTTTGTCCATCCGTGACATCACGGTGAGGTCAGTCGGTGGGGTTAACTCTCGCTTTCCTCTGGGATGTCCTGCAGATCTGAAGGGTCAGAGATCATGGTTACCATGGTATCCATAACTGATCAAAACAACATGATTTTCATCAAACTGCGGTCAGAGAGTGGATGACAGGCTGTTTTCTGACCTCTGGGGCTATCAGAACGTGGGGAGATCTTCATCACCTCCTCCTCCTCTTCATTTAATTCTTCAACTCCATCTAATTGGTCGAGTGGATCTTCAGTGGCCAATGGAGCGAGGGGGTGGGGCTCTGGGTCCTTGCTGCTGGACTTCTTGTTGAGCTGCTGGGAGACACACCTGACCTCAGCATCTTTAGGATTGTAATGACTGCAGTTGCTTTACCTGGCTCACCAGACGCACCTGTTCATCCTTGGTGACATCAGCTTTGTTTTTGTTTTTGTTCCTCTTTTTTTTGCCAGTTCCTGATCCCTTCTTGTTCGACTCCTCCGCCTTTAGACGCAGCCGTGCCAGCTCTTCCTGCAGAAGCTCCACCTGGCGCTGCAGAAGCACCACCTCCCCACTGGCGTCCAGTCCTGTGTCCCGCGACATCGATCGGCTGAGACGAGGTCCTGGGGCGGAGCCAGAGGTGGTAGAAGAGATGGGTCCAGCACCCACCGCCAATTCCAGAATGGAGTCTTGGCGAATCACAGCAGCCTGGGGGTGGAGTTCAGAGTTCAATTACACCAGGACACCCCAGATTTAGTCGGATCGAGTGTTCTGGACTAGACCATATGTAAAAATTAAAGTTTTCAGACCTGCAAGGCATGAAGCTGCGTGCTCAGATCGACCAATCGCTGGTGGACTTCCTTTGAGGAGAAGAAACTGATTTTAGTCGACTTGATTCTGCAGAATCTATTTAAAGCTACTGCCAGGACAGCATCAGACGACAGCTGCTGGTGCAGCTCTGGTTTGGTTTGTGGAAATGCAAATCTGATATTAAGATGCTGAAAAAGTTTGGCCTCACAGACTGCTGGAGAGTGAAGCTCTGACCCAAATATCTAGCTGAACCAGGTTTTATCTGGACGAACTGAGTTCTAGAACACAGAACGGCTGAAAACCAATCAGAAAAAGGCAGAATAAACAGCTGTTACCCGGTTCAGGGCTCCCTCCTGCAGCTGGTTGCCGTTTTTATCCTGGAAGATAATAAAAGAGGACACAATGTTGTGATTCTGCTTTGAGTCTAGATTAAACCAGCATGAAAATTTGGATACATTATTTATTTATTTTTTAAATGAGTTATTCTGTTTGATTTTTTTAAATTTTCACAATGTAAAAAAAAATAAACACAAATATCAGAGGTGAAAAAAACATTTTAAGAGATTTGTGATAAGTCCTAGTAAGTCACCAATCTATAACAAAACATCTCTGAGAGAAAACGTTACAAACATCTTTCCTTTGCCATCGGATGCTGGAAACACAAACGAACATAGTAACCAAAATGGTAAATTATTTATATAGCGCCTTCTAGAGTCCTAGAACCCCCCAAGGCACTTTACAGTACAATCATTCACACACACAGATGGTAATGAGCTACATCGTAGCCACAGCTGCCCTGGGGCACAATGGCAGGTTCCTCCGACCACCAGCAGGCAAGGAGGGTGAAATAGTGAAATGTCTTGCTCAAGGACACAACAGCTGACATGAACGGAGCCTGAGTTTGAACCGACAACCCACCAGAAGCACAAACTTCTAACCCCTGAGCCATCACCGCCCCAAACTAACGGTAACACAAACTCAGAAGACCCTAAATGGGATGAAAGTGTGATTTACCTTTGAAGTGCTGTTGTTCAGTTTAAAAGAACCATTGAGAGAACCACAGTCACCATCTGAGAGAGACAGGTGAGACAGGTGAGAGAGATGAGAGAGACAGGTGAGACAGGTGAGAGAGATGAGAGAGACAGGTGAGACAGGTGAGAGAGACAGGTGAGACAGGTGAGAGAGATGAGAGAGACAGGTGAGACAGGTAGAGACCATCAGGTGAGAGGAGGAGTTATCTGTTCGATTTTAAAAGTCTATCAGAGGTGAAAAGGAGGACAGGAAGTATAAAAGTAGATTACAGGTGTCAGGTGACTCACTGCTGATCTCCTGGTTGCCATTGGTTACGGAGGGTTTCTGTGTGCCGAAGCTGGATAACATAGTTGTCAGCTTGTCGACTGAAACAAAAAGTATGAGAAAATTCAGCTGTGTGTCAGTGTGTATTCAGCAGGAGATCCAGAAGACACCTCCTCACCTTCACCAATGGCAGCAAGAAGGAGCTGTTCTGCTTTAGGAGCGTGAGGAGTGTCGGCTCTGAACAGGTTTCTGCAGCATGAGGTCCTTGTCTCCACACATCTGTCTTCTCCTGATTCTTCTCGTGCTGTCACCTGCATCAGGTCAGAGAACAAGGTGACACGCTCCTGCAGGAGCTCCAGCACCTCCCTGTCCTTCTGCTGAATGTCAGCTGTAGAGAAAAGGAAAGACGAATGAGGAACAGAACCAACATCTGACACCAGATCGCGTTTAGATTCATTTATACAGGACAGACATTTACTAACACGATTTCACCTCCTCCTTACTCCTGCTCCTTCCACCACTACCTCCTGCTGACCCAGTCACCTCCTCCTTACCCCTTTTGCTTACTGTCACCTCATTCTTTCTCTTGCTGCTCCATGTCACCTGCAACTTTAAGATAAATAAAATCCTAATCTAGTTATCTTGTCTCTACATGAAAAGACTGATCATATAAACATACCTTTCATTGCTTCTATTGGGTGTTTAAAGTTGTCTTCTTTCAGCCTTTTATTCTCGGCTATTAACGGCTTTATTTGCCTTTGTGCCTTGCTCCAGTTCCTGGATGGCAGCTCGTCATCTGATGACTCCTCATATTCGGTTGGGGACTGCAAGACACAGAAATCAACACCAAAACACACACAACATGTTAGTGTCATGTGTTTCAGACACAAGTAGCATGTTTACAACTACTGCTTGTAAACATTCAAATGTGATAAATTACCTCTAAATCTTTTTGTCTTGCCATCAGATCCTTCTTCAAGTCTTCAATCATTTGGTCTGCAGCCTCTTTTGAAGGACAGGATGCCGTTTAAAATTTTTGCTGCAAAATTTCAGAGTTTATAGTATATGAGCATTGATGCAAATTATAATACATGTGCTAAAAGGAAATATTTAGTACTAGAATACTCAGAGTATAGTGATACAATAACTTTTTAAGTTTTTTTAAATAAAGGTTTCAAAGCAATTCATAGGAATATATGAATATTATCATAACATAGTTTGTAAAAGTGTCACTTATTTAAGGTGTTGTATGCAATTGTACTCAATTAATTTGAGAGCAGTCCATTTCCACATCTTTTAATCAATTAATTTACCTTTTTTGATTGTTGACTCTCTTCCTCATTGTCCATCCACCTGCTGTTGGGCTTTATCTTCCTCTTTCCTCCCCTGTCTTCCTCTCTTTTCCAGATGTCCTCACCCTTTATGAAAGCCTCCCTCTGTTGGCACAGGTCAGTGTAGTTGTCTATGAGAAAAAGATTATTAGTATAATAAACAGACGATGAGTAACTGTCATAAAACATTTCACCCTTTAACCAAACAGAAGCATTGAGGAGCCATAAACATATTTTTTTCTCATTTATAAAATATTGAGCCTACACTTACATATAATAGGTTAAAATTAGGAAAATGTTACAGGGTGTGGGAAATGCAGAGTAAAAGATTTACCACTTTTCTCACACCATCAAACAAGTGAGCATGGTTGACAGAGCTTGGCTGTGAATGCAGTGACGTGCGGTGAGGTTCAGGACTGGGGAGGCACTGGCTGGAGTGGACTGGAGTCAGACTTACAAATACACCATCCCCGAAGCTTCTATTGATAGAATGAGACTAGAGGCGTTCATCTCTGCCTCCAGTCTGATGGCGCAGCGCCTCACAATAGAAACGGGGCTTTGGCGCGTGCGCCCTGCCATGTGCGCAGGAGTGAGAGCAAGGTAGCTAGTTCATCGCCTCCCCTTGGGCTTAAGTATTTGATCAGGAAACGGGTAAATTTCAGCAATTTTGACCATAAACATGTTGAAATCAAACATAAACCAGGCAGTCAGTGGACACATTGATTTCCTACTATATCATTATTGGTCTAAATAGTCACGATGACTGCCTTCCCTACTCATGATAAATGATAAATGACCCGCACTTGTATAGCACCTCTCAGAGTAAGGACTCCAAAGCGCTTTACACTACAGTGTATCATTCATCCATTCACACACACATTCACACACTGATGGTGATGAGCTACAATGTAGCCACAGCTGCCCTAGGGCGCACTGACAGAGGCGAGGCTGCCGAGCACAGGCGCCACCGATTCCTCCGACCACCACCAGACCACACGTGACTGCATGAATGGAGAGAGTGATGGTTAAAAACATATATAACTTATTTATGTCGTGTGTTACCCTATCAGTTAGTGTGACCGGCCAAAAATGTTTAGGTAACAGACAAGATAACATTTATAAGCTAGGTGTATATCCTGGTTCACAAAACCCACGATAGCCATAACTGTAACTGCCTTCTGTAATCTTGTAAATAACATGTCTGTGTAGCTAAAACAAATATAACTGTAATTTTTTCAGTCTCTTGCCCAGCACTCCCTTGAAAATGAGTTTTTTAATCTCAAAGGGACCTTCCTGGTTAAATAAAGAATAAATAAACAAGGCTAAAATTGATATCATGCATGCACAGACACACACACACACACACACACACACACACACACACACACACACACACACACACACACACACACACACACACACTGTCTATAAACAGAACCGCTTTAAGCTTTTTAGTTTTCTACCACTAGTTTTTAAACAAACACTTTTAAAACTTCGTAGTTCTCCCCATTTTCTCTTCCTGTTGAAAAACCACAGCCGGCACGCAAAGCATGCTGGGATAGCCTTGTTCTGTGAGGATACGTTTTCTGCATGTAAATGAGTACTGTGGTAAAAAATGTGGTAAAGATCTCTGTCTGAAAGTGACCAATCACATTAGGGAAGGCGGCTCCTTGGAACCCGCCCCCCAAAGTGTGAAAAGTGAAACTTGTCCGATAGAGCGGAATTTCTACTCGAGAGCAGAGCAGGCTGCGCGAGCGTGTTTTAACAGTTCCACGCGCGTAGTACCCACACTTACGAGTGACAGGAACAATTGTCTGTGTGTGACTGGATACAATCTGCTCTCGGGTCTTTGTAAACACGTGCAAGGTGCTTTTTCGCACTCGCGGATAGTTTAAAACACGCACGGAGGACATTTGGAGCGCTAGTGGATGGGAACTTGTCCTTTCACGGATGTTTAACGATCCTCTCGTGATTGTGCGTGCTCTCGCGAGACCTTATTGACATAAAATTGACTCCATATAATCCAACTTTAATTGGGTTGTAGCATCACACTTTATAGCGTAGCGACTGCAAATTTAAAGAGCAAGTAACGTCTAAATTACCTTTTTTTTCTGATAAACTTTATAAATGAGTGTCTAATAGTGTTTAAATGTGTGTATTCATTATTTTAGCATTTTGGTGCATTTTCTTTAAAAATTAAAAATTCTGCCTAAATACCACAGCATAGCGCCACCTTCAGCTTAAAACATAGAGTTTGAGTCATTTTGAATGTGGCAAGGTGGATGCACAAGGGCCCAGGTGGGATTTGATCCCCAAACTCCTGGGTGAGAGTCATACGCACTAACCAGTCAGCCAAAGGGACATCCGCTTGGCACAGTAGCCAGGGCGCATGATCAATCGGGACATTGTGACAAGACGCTCACACTGTCACATCAATACACTTTAGCCAATGGCTAAAGAGAATGATACTACGTAAACCAGTAGAGTACTACGTAGCAGCTCTGTGTCAAAGTTATAAAAGCATCGAGCGTCTCGGCCACGCCTTGTGGCGAGCTGGGAGTTGGATTTGCAAGCGAGTGTAGGAGGTTAGCCGTAGTTCAGCGTTAGCATATAGTATTAGCATATCCTAATCTTTAGCATAGCTTTTAGTGTTATACATACTTATTTAGTGTTAGCTTGGCTGTTGGATATTGTAGTTTAGTTAGTGTTTCGCTGTTAGTGTTATTAGGAAAGTAGTTCGGGTTTAGTGTTCCATATCGTGTTAGTATGGTGAGAAGGTGTAGTGTAGTGGGTTCGGTGGCTCTGTGGGGTTGCACTCCTTTCCACTGGACTTAGAAATTAGGTGCCACTGATTGCGCGCAATCGGTGTCTGGAAAACAGTCAGCTCCCGCCTGGTGCTGTAGTTTGCAACCAGCATTTTACCCACGATTCCTTCGCCAACATGATGGAGTTTGAACTGGGTTATTCTGCGTGCCTCCGTTTGAAGAGGGAGGCCGTGCCCACCGTGGCCAATAAGATGTGATGATTCCATATAAATATTAAATATAAACCTGATTGATCTTTGAATGTTTAACCAGAATAGTTTAGGGTTTTTTGCTTGTTCAGGGACCATAAACACACTTCGTGTTAATTCAGGAAGAGTCAAGTATATTGTTAAAAGGGATTTTATTCTTGTCTAAACTAATGATAATACACGACAAGCTATGAATAACGAAGTGATGGAGTGTATATGCAGTGATGTAATGTGAGTTGTAGGCGGTGTGGTGTAAAGTAGATGTGTATCAGAACCTTTGTATCTGAAAGAGATTGTGAACTCTGGGTGTGAAAGAATTTGTTGTCTGCTATAAACTAGAGAGTTGATTATTAATAAAACAACATCAGACGCAATCTGTTGTGTCTACAAACCTTGATCGGAGATCCCCGTTCAGATCCGGAATGTCAGGAAGTCTGGTGGACCTCACGGCACTGAAGTTCATAGATTAACTGCGGTGCGACCAGTCCGGTCTCGAATTGTCTCCAGGTCACAACAGGCAGAAAGGTTCATTGCGTCTAAAACGGATGTGTTCTCATGGAGCCATATGGCTGTGTCAGCTGACAGTGTGCCAACCATCGACATATATATACTGGACAATTCGTGTCCACAGGCTCCAATTAAAAGTTTTTGTGCCAAAATGGGAGGTGGCTACCACCGCCATTTTGACTGTGTCACAGGTTCCGTCAAGCCAAGACAATTCCAAAAAAGGGAAAAGAGGTGGAGCTGAGGGTGGGGCTGTAAGGCTGGGATCAAATGACGACACATGATGAACTGAAGCGATGTAGCTACAAGCTAACCCAAAGCTAACGCAGAGGTGGGAGCTAAGCTAACGGAGGTAGCTACCTAGCTACAACCGGAGTTAACTGTGCACAACACCGGAGCTTTTGAGTCAGAGATACGCCGGGCTGACTGCTGGGTAAAACCGGGTGGAACACAGAGGTCTCCCGAGAGCTCCACAAGCCGGCAGCCCGCGCAGCAGACAGGCGCCGCTGCGATCAGAGATGCGCCAAGCTGACGCTGAGGGGAGGGGACCATTCCAATAGTCGGAATCCAGCTCCACCAACATGTTATATTTCAACCCATTTTCAAAAATGCAGCGTCATGTTAAATGCACTGGGTTTTACCCTATTACATTTAAATGTTATGGTTAAACAGTACATGGTGCTTCCGGTCTGTAACAAGATGGCGCTTGTGCTTGGCTTAGCCGCAGTCACCGTCCACTTTTTCAAACGTTTCTCCACTAACCTCCTCTTTTCCACCTTGCTCCTATCTGTCTGTGTCTGTGAAATCAGGTGTGTTGAAACAGAGTTAAAACCAAAACGTGCTGGATACTATCCCCTAAGCCATGATCAGTCTTTGTTTTCAGGTCATGTGAGAGTTGTTTTTAGACCTACATGTTGCTACTCTTTAGAGAATATTCAAAAAGGAGGTAAACTTACAATTAAATACTCTAAATACTCTTTCTCATAAGTGGATTTACCTGTGTACGGAGGTCAAGGGTCACAGAGCTTAACAAACCAATTCTGAGTTCCAATAATTAGTTCTACAGGTTTTGGAATAAATAAATAAAATGACAACAGTGCCCAAATGTCTGCAACTGCCAAGTTTTGTTTAAACATGTATTGCACACTTTCTGTAAACCTTTGTTTCACTTCTCAAACATCACTCTGTGTTTCCTATATGTTACATTTAACCATAGGCGTCATTTTAACCGGGGACGCCGGGGACATGTCCCCGGCAAAATTTGTGATTGGCAGCTGTGTCCCCCCCACTTTCAAAAAATGCCTGCTGATGAGGATTTTTGTTTTACCAGCTCAGATCTTATACCAGGGGTCGGCAACCTGTTCCCATCAAAGAGCCATTATTACCCGTTTCCCACGGTAAATAAAACACCGCAGCAGCCGCAGCGTTGTGGGCGGGGCCTACCCTCAGACAGCAGAGAGCTGCTCACAACCAAGTGACAGCAGCAGGTACCGGTCGCTCGCATGGACATCGCACCCGTGGGGGATTCAACAACACCCACACTTTTCCAGCTGTTTTGCTCACCTCCACACCATTCTGGTTTCTTTATGTCGCACTCTCTCTGTTTGCCTCATCTCCTTCTTCACCTCCACTTCTGACAGCCGATGTCGGGTTTCCAGGAGAGCAGGAGAGGGAGGGACGGAGGAGCTCGACTGAATTCATAATTTTACATCTTGACATTAGCTGTACAAAGTCTGAGTTTGATCAAGTGAAGAACAACAATTTGCAGAGGTTATAACAGGCACGGCGCCAGGTTTTCATTTTTGGGTGGGCCACGGTAATTCTGGACGGACCTTAATAAGCAGTGATTTAAGTGAAGCAGGCAGGTCGCGCTAGAAAATGTCGTTTAAAAAGACGTCATAAATGTGTTCCCCCGTCATTTTTATTTCTAAAATATGAAGTAAAAACTCCCAATTTAATTTTCATTCATTTGTCATTAATATGTAGTCTACACCCGTGCGTTAAGTGGACCATCTTCCAGTAAACGCAAAGCATCCAGCCCACCTCTCCAAATGCGTAAAATGTGCATCAGCCGCTAGTTAGGCGCGCCGCGCACCATCAGCGACGTCAGCCCAGACAAGAGCGGAGCAACTAGAGAAAGAATAGAGGATAACTGTGTCTGGATGTGGATGGAGATTACATTTTACAGCAGCCTGATCATCATTTAAATACGTAAACCATCACCTGTCTTCTAGTCCACGCTATTAGCATTATTTTAATTGGTGTGTGTGTGTGTGTGTGTGTGTGTGTGTGTGTGTGTGTGTGTGTGTGTGTGTGTGTGTTTTCCACTTCAAACACTGGTCTAACCAACCAGACCAGCGTGTCCATATTAATGTTACAATTAAACAGTTTCACTTCATGTAGGCTAGGAACTTTTCACCTGCCGTGGCCCGACCGCTTCTGCTCCACATAAACTTTGTGCGTGATCAAATGTCTCTACAGGTGCTTTCTGAGCTGAAGAGCTATTCTGCCTCAGACTGCGTCATGCGTCTCCATATTAGAGACGGGAAAAAGCGCTGTTCAGCCAAAGTTGAATAATTTCATTAAAAGAACATTTTTCCAAGCTCATCCATGCGCATCAGTGTGCGTCGGGGTAATTCTTTGAAAACAGCCAGCATCCTTGAGTTTATCCGTCAAAATAAAAGTCTAATATAAATATCTGTAACCTGCCATTTAACTGTTTTGCCTTCTTGTGAAGATTGTTGCAAAGAGAAAAAACTAAACTTGATTAACCCCAGAGCCACGCGCACTGCACTGTACGTCGTGACTGTAAATGAGGGGAAATGATTTAATCGGATCCTTTTCTCTTCAACATGGTTTTACGTAAAGTTTCATTCAGTACAAACTTTAGTTACACCAATCTAACGAGACAGAGCCTGGATTTGTATTCTGAACAGTTTAAACATGTTTAAAACGGAGACATGCGTGACGCGTCTAAAATTCGCACCTGCTCCGCTATTATGGAAATTAAACTAACAAGGTGTATAACATCAAATTATTTTAGGCACAGACAACATCTCCCACACTTTTGAAAATGCTGCAACGCGCCTGGTCGCTCGTGTACGTCAAAGTTATCTTTCATAAGAAGATATTCAATAAAACGATTTATATAAAGTGGATCCAGAAGTTGTAGCCCGTCTCTGCCTACAATATTTTGATATTTTTCACCCTGTTGGTGGTTTTACTGAGCAGGTGCCACTTTTGTCATACGTTTCTTTTTAAAACATGTTTAGACTGTTCAGAATACAAATCCAGGCTCTCAGAACCAGAACGCATGCGGGAAGGTTCCTCCCACTGAAGCGAGTGTTTTCCAAACCCTGTCTCTCAGAGAGACTTGTCACTTAGAAAATGTTCCCTGATTATGAAACTTTGGCTGAATAGTGCTTGTTCCTGTCTCCAATGTGGCGACGCATCCAGGAGCCGTCTGAGAAGCCCAGAATCTCACATCCTCCAGCTCAGGAAGCGCATTTAATTACGCACAAGCGTGACGCGTCAACCCGGTCTCACAGTGGACCGGGTTGGACCTGTTCAGGTTTACGCAGACAATCTTTACATTTAGAATTAGCATACAGATGTAAAATTAATGCAGTAAAATATAAAGCATTTTATTTAAATATCCATTCATTATTTTACAAGCACAGAGCATCAGATGGATGGAAGAGCCGCATGCGGCTACAGAGCCGCCGACCCCTGTGCTAGCCTATATTGTCCCCAGCAATTTTTAAACCCCACTCAAGTGTATGGTTATTGTCCCCAGCAATTCTGAAAACAAACTGACGCCCTTGCATTTAACTGAAAATCTCATAACAACCAACGATTTATAGGAAACTCATGAAGATTAACAAGACTGCCCAAACTTTCACACCCAACTGAAGATGGTCTCTCAGTCTAAGACGAATCACTGAAATAAATGACCCTTTGCACGATATTTAGGATCACCTGTAGAGAAGGCAGCTGTCTCCAGGGGCACCCAGTGGGCGTGGTCACACCGGCCAGAAGAATTAGGATGGGGCGTAGACTTTTCTCCTCATTAATAACATTAACTTTAAACAGCTGGTTGTGTGTACTTATGTTTTTGTTGACTTATATTTAAATTTGTTTGATGGTCTGAAACACGAAAGTGTGACAAACATGTAAAATGAACATAAAAAAACAAGAAATCAGGGATTTATTCCACGCTAGTTCCACGTGACCAGTTGAGATGACGTCAGTGTCGAAGCAGCAAAGTTTAATGGCCGAGAGTTTTACGAGTAGTTGTTGCTTTTCCATTTGGTTGTAATCGGTTTCAGGTCCGGACCGGATTAGTCCTACGGGCACCCGGGTGACAGGCTCGCTACAAGACGGTAATCAGAATACTTTATCGTCATATGGAGAAGAGCAACAGGATGATTAGTTTTCCCTGCATCTATTACAGCAGATAATAACAGATCTATTAATGAGATTACTTTAATATTCACTTATTGTGTTTAGGTCAGACTGATTCTGACCCAAATGTGCAGCTAAAGTGACTGTAGACGCATTTTATGTTTCAGATTAGGACTAAAATAGGACTATTTTTTGTTGTCAAGCCATCCCATAAATGTGAACATGCGGTCTGGATTTCTAGGCAAGTTGAGGAAAGCAGAAGCGCTGAGCTTCAGGGAAATCAGGACCGAGGCAGAAATCTTCACGGAGTCTGGGACGACTGTGAACAGCGACGTGCGCCCCCCGGTGGTGAGAACACAACAACAGAAGAGAGAGGAACCGGACAGGAGTGGAGGTGTGGATGAGATCAGATGGAGCCAGATAAGCTAATGAAGAGCTTTGACAGTGATGAGGAGATTTTAGATTCTCTGTTTAAGGGGAAGCCAGTGGAGTTGTTGCAGAGCGCGGGTGTTGTGATGGGTGGTCTGTGATAACAACACGTGCTGGTTCTGGAGGGATGTGCTGGGGAGCCCAAAGAGGTGGAGTCAGTCCAGGAAGTGACAAGGTTGTGGACGAGAAGAGAAGATTGCAATGAATAGATGGGTGCAATGACTGGTCGTATTCTTGTCAGTGATTGTTTTTATTTTATTTGTTTATTCCCCTTTGCACAGACATCACGCTGGTTTGTGCCACTCGGACAAAGAGAACTGAGTGGAGTTCTGTTTGTCAGGACCTTAGTTGGATCTGCTGTGGACCAAGACGAGAACAGCTGCTTTAGTGGAGATCTGGACATCTGCAATGGGGGACGCCTTTGGTTTGGTCTACTGTCTGGCTAAGGAGGAGGACTATGAGCAGGTCCTTCAGTAGCTATAGAAGTCTCTCCTCCAGGAGAATGTAGACATTTCTGACTTTCTGATCTTGTGTTTGGGATCCAGGTCATGAAGATCTGCACTTCAAAGGACTACAACGGACTGGACTACCTGCCTGCCTTCTTTCACCGCTGGCTGAAGGAACCTGGACGGATCGTCCTCTTGGCTTGGATGAAAGACAGAGTGGTAAGGACGGGACATAGGTGATGGGTCTAGTAGGTTAGGGTTTCCTCATCTACTGATGAAATCTTGCTTTGACCTGCAGGTGGCGCTGGAATCTGCCTTGCTCGTGGATGGGGGTCAGACGGTCGTGTTTCAGGGTCACAGGGTGGTTTCTGACCTCAGAGGCAGTGGCATCGCTGGCGTCCTCCACAGTCATGTGACCTACGTCCGCAGTCAGTACCCAGAAGTCTGTGCTGTCAGAATGAGCCGAGGAGACCATCCTTCAGAACGAATTCTGTCTAAATACAGACTTGTTGCTAAAGAGGTGAGTCTCAGTCTGCAGGACAACTCAGGTATGGGGTGGTCCAACCAGTCACTCCAATTATCTAGATAGATAGGGACCAGACATCAGAGCACACAAACGCCCCCTAGTGGTTGGTAGTAATACAAACAAATTGTATTTATACTACAGATTTCTTGTACTGCTCCTCCTTCTACAGTATTCATTTTTTCCACAAATGATACATTTAAACCTTCCGCTAGTTCAGGAATTTCCAGCTCTGCCTTTTGGACTTGATATATTTTACATTTTTTTAAAAACATTTGTGTCTTTGTGGATCGTTTTCAGTGCGTGAGAATTAAACAGAGTCCTTTATGTGGTGCAGATATTAAGTGTGTTCTTGTAGAGTTGCTGTGATGTAAATGTTTAGATGTGAGATCAGGTCAGAAACAGCTCTGAGAACAGTTCTGCGATCAGGTCAGAAACAGGTCTGAGATCAGATCAGAAACAGGTCTGAGATCAGGTCAGAAACAGATGTGAGATCAGGTCAGAAACAGGTCTGAGATCAGGTCAGATACAGGTCTGAGACTAGGTCAGAAACAGGTCTAAGATCAGGTCAGAAACAGGTCTGAGTTCAGGTCAGAAACAGCTCTGAGACCAGGTCAGAAACAGGTCTGAGATCAGGTCAGAAACAGCTCTGAGATCAGGTCAGAAACAGCTCTGAGACCAGGTCAGAAACAGGTCTGAGACCAGGTCAGAAACAGGTCTGAGATCAGGTCAGAAACAGGTCTGAGACCAGGTCAGAAACAGATGTGAGATCAGGTCAGAAACAGCTCTAAGAACAGGTCTGTGATCAAGTCAGAAACAGGTCTGAGATCAGGTCAGAGACAGCTCTGAGACCAGGTCAGAAACAGGTCTGAGACCAGGTCAAATACAGCTCAGAAACAGATGTGAGATCAGGTCAGAAACAGCTCTAAGAACAGGTCTGTGATCAGGTCTGAGATCAGGTCAGAGATAGCTCTGAGACCAGGTCAGAAACAGGTCTGAGACCAGGTCAAATACAGCTCAGAAACAGGTCTGAGACCAAGTCAGAAACAGATGTGAGATGAGGTCGGAAACAGGTCTGAGATCAGATCAGAAACAGGTCTGAGATCAGGTCAGAAACAGGTCTGAGACCAGGTCAGATACAGGTCTGAGATCAGGTCAGAAACAGGTCTGAGACCAGGTCAGATACAGGTCTGAGATCAGATCAGAAACACGTCTGAGATCAGGTCAGAGACAGGTCTGAGACCAGGTCAAATACAGCTCAGAAAGAGGTCTGAGACCAGGTCAGAAACAGGTCTGAGACCAGGTCAGATACAGGTCTGAGATCAGATCAGAAACAGGTCTGAGATCAGGTCAGAAACAGGTCTGAGACCAGGTCAAAAACAGGTCTGTGATCAGGTCAGATACAGGTCTGAGATCAGATCAGAAACAGGTCTGAGATCAGGTCAGAAACAGGTCTGAAACCAGGTCAGATAAAGGTCTGAGACCAGGTCAGACACAGTTCTGAGATCAAATCAGAAACAGGTCTGAGACCATGTCAAATACAGGTCAGAAACAGGCCTGAGACCAGGTCAGAAACAGGTCTGAGACCAGGTCAGATACAGGTCTGAGATCAGATCAGAAACAGGTCTGAGACCATGTCAAATACAGGTCAGAAACAAATCTGTGATCAGGTCAGAAACAGGTCTAAGACCAGGTCAGAAACTGATATAAGATCAGAGCCCCTCCCCCCACTGGTACTTGGACCCACCTGAGTTGATGCTGCAGCGCCCCGTCCCTCGGACGATGCAGAGTGGAGCAAATCCAAACACCAGAGTGATGGACAGCAGAACCACCAGAGCTCCCAGTTTTATCTCCAGAGCCGGAACATCAGCTGGGTTTACCGGCAGTGCCACTGCTCCCCCGCGGAACTGGAGGGCTGAGGAGGAGCTTCCACCTGCCGCCAGCATCATTCAGCTTCTCCGGACCCCCTCAGTCAGACAGGCTTAAAACATTGGTCCAGACAAGATCAGAATCTGTCAGGAGAAACATGAAACACATAGGCAGAGATCCCAAGGGGACGCACCCATTAACCATACAGATGTCTCCCCAATAATCACGGTAAACAACACATATATATTCAATGACATAGTATTGCCCAATCAAAGCAGAGCACAAACGATCCACATTCAAACGATATCTCTTTAATTGTTGAAAGATTGTGACCACCCCTTAAGGTGAGCGGAAAAGTGAATTGCTGTGGAACCATCGACATATATACATATGTCATATGTATGAGGAACATTAAAAAAAACACAAAAATTGTTGCTTTTCTTAGAACCTCCACATCAGCACTGTGAAAAGCAAAAAGGAAACCATGCTGAAGTTAGTTTTAAGTGACAGATCTCCATCCTGGTTCAGGTCCGATCACAGCTAAATCAACAGATTTCATTTATAGTCACCTCAGGATGGTTCGATTAGCCAGATAACTTTCATATTTAATATTAATATTTTCATAGAAAAATTATGTTTTCTTTAAATGCTTCCACATCATGTGACTTTATTTTTAGATGATGTTCTCTCTCTTTATTGTGAAACGTTTACATAGATGTTGTAGTACTGTAGTACTACTGCTGTGGTACTTTATCTTTGTTTATGTAATGGTACATAATGTTGGTTAACATGCTGGAGGCCCACCCTGCAAGAGACATTTTTTTACATATCCCCCAAAAAGATTTGCTTTCTGAAATTTTACAGTAAATCCAGTCTGAGCCTCTGAGGATCCAGTTCAAGGATTCACAGGTTCTTCCTCTAGAGAGAACATCAGGAACTACTCATGAAATCTGGAAAAGCTTAGTTATTTAAAGGATCAGGGAACATGTTTAAACTTGTCCGCCATGACCTCTGATCCCTGACTTTGTTGGGCAGACAGGTGTTCTCGTCATCAGAGCATCTCTGGAGGAGAACCCGGACCAGGACAAGATCTGTGGAATGGATCAGATGGATGTTAACGGGAACTATCTACATTCTGTCAGAGAAACCAGAAGAACCTCTAGATCTGACCCAGAATCTGCACCTGGACCCAAATACAAAGAGCAGCAGAACCAGTTCCATCCAGTAAACCCAGAAGTTTCAAACAAAAACGCTTCAACGAGGACCGATTGATCCACTTTACGCCCAGAATCAGAACCAGGGGATCTTTTAATCTGGAAACTCCTCCGACAAACATCAAGCGAATCGATAAGACACGAGGCCCCTGAGACCCGACGTTGGACCTGAGGCGAGACTTGCCAGGTGAGAAGGACCAGACACGTGGCCTACCTGCTCCAGCCGCGTCCCGGTGAGTCCTCTTCCCGTTACTGGGAGTTTGTCCGGGAAGTTCTGATTCAGTTCCCATCAGCTGATCCCGCCAGCTGTCACGCGAGCCACAACACCACGCACTTCCTGTCTTCAAACTAAAAGCTTTTCCAAATTTTGTTTTTTTCAGCAAATGAATATTACCTGCAGATGCCTTTTGAAACTTTGTGACACACATGCACGCGCCAGAAAAAATTATTTCGTGTTCAATTAAAAAGTCGAACACATCTCAGTTCAATTAATAAAATACATCTAAAATAAATTGGTTTATTATTGATCTGACAGAATCACCCAGAATGAACTTACGTAGAATGAATTTTGACTCAGAAAAGTGAAGCTCAACGTGAAACGTTAAACAAAATAAATATAATTGTAACTGAATTTATCAAATGAAGACCGATGAGTTGAATGTGTGCTTTTATTTTGGTGGTCACAGGCCTTGTTTCCGGTGTAAGTATGTTTAACTTCTTTCAGCTAAAGCAGGAGTCGTGCTTCATCACATATTTACTTAAGAGTCAAAGGTCAAAGACATGAAATGATTCAGACCAAAGTTTTCAGCTGATGATGAAGGTTTGAACATCATCATCAGCTGGTTCTGAATCAACATATGTCTTCAGTCTTACAGCAAAAACACCCAGATGATCTTTATTCTGAGGCTGAAGGATTTAGTCGTTTCATTTCGAGAATGTTGATATAAAGTTCATTATGAAGCAACCAGTTGGTTTTATAAAACGGCTTGATAAGAACTGTAAGTTATGTGAAACGTGTTGACTGCATTATTATTGTTGAAGCAGAATTCTGTTATCACCACTATGGGGCGCTCGTCTGCTGCTCAGGTACGCCTTCAGAAAAACAGAACCTACAGAAAACTTCTAGTCCTGGGTTCTCTGGTCCAAACCAGAATCCTTCAGACCTCTAACCCGAATAACATCTCTTATAAACGTTGGCAGAATAACAAACAAATAAACATTTGAAGCTTAAAAAAAACATGATCATGTTCATTCAGCCATCCATCTTGGACATGTGTATTTGCTCTTTTTCAGACGCACCGACTGGGGCGGTAAATGGCTAAAAGGTTGACTAGCATGAGCGTTTTTAGGCCATTTTTTGGGGGGTGCCGAAGCACCCCGAAAATGTGAGACTTTAAAACATTTAGTTTTACTATATGTCATTTTAAAGACAATTGTAAAATATAAAAAGCATAGTGTGCTTGGTAGAAATGTTAAATTTCAACAACAAAAAATCCTGATTCTTCCAGCTCAGTTTTTGTCATCTGATCCATTTTAGTGATGAATTTAAATTTCTCAGACACAAGCCAAAGATTGGAAAACCTGTCTGATAGCTCTTGCATGGTGTCAACAATGACATTGAAAACCATGCACCTAAAGTGTATTTCAGGTTCTTCTCCGTGATGAGCATTGCTGGAATTGTCATCTTGGAAACTCTTTTGCTTCCTAAAACATCTCTGTTTGAATTCTGGAGAAGCATCCATTTCAACTGCTATCCTGCTTGCAATTACAAGTGACTTTTGGTAGCCCTCTTCTCTATAATTGAGTAAGAACGTTTTCAGAGAATCAATTAGGCTAATAGCTGTGTCAATTGAGACATCTGCTGCCTGTAGGGCCTTGCTTGCAAAGTTTATCTCTGACAATAAGTCATACCAAATGAGGAGGCACACAAGAAACTCCCTCCTTACAATCTCATCAGACAGTGACTTTGCCTCTGAGACAATTTTGCTGTCTCCTGCCACTTCTGCAAGTTTATAGAGCATCTAGAATCCCCCCCAACTGGAAACATACAGCTTTGACTGAGTCTAGCTTTGCTTCCCACCTGGTATCACTCAGAGGTTTCAGTGTGATGTCAACAAATTCTGTGAGAATGGCCACCTCTTCACTGAAGAGGAACACATAGTGTACAATCTTTGAAGAGTGCCAAAGAAGGTCAGATACTCTCTATTAGATGAAGCTGCATCACACATCAAAAGGTTCAGGCTGTGGCTACAGCAGGGACTGAACAGAGCCTCTGGACATCTCTGTTGTATCAAAGCTTGGACACCCTTGTTTATCCCTCTCATATTAGAGCCATTGTCATAGCTTTGGCCCCTACAATTAGCCAAGTCCAACCCCAGACTATCCAGCACTCCTGTCAGTGTGTCTGCAAGGCCTTTCCCAGTTGTGTCCTTCACAGCCGTGAACCCCACAAAAGACTCATTAATACTGACATTCTTCTTCTCATCAGTATGAATATACCGTATGATAACTGAGGCCTGCTCTTGCTTTGAAATATCAGGAGTGCAGTCCAGTTCCACTGCAAAGTACTTGGAGGCTTTAATCTGGGCACAAATTTTACTTAAAACACATTCTGATATTGAATCCAAAAATTCATTCTGAGTGCACCAAGACAGATATCCGGTGTTTTTTTGTTTTTCTTTGGAGGCAGTTTTTCTAAGATGCTCTGCCAGTGTGACATCATACCTTGCGATGAGCTCATGGATACCTAGAAAATTTCCATTTTTAGGATTTCCTAGCTGCACATTTTTTCCCCTCAGCGGCAGTTTCTTTCAGCAAGGAAGAGTATGCAGTCAATCACTCGAGTCAAAATACTTCTCCAGTGTGTCTTTTCAGCGGGCGTGGCTCTCTGTAATTCACAATCAATAGTTTTACCTATGCGTAAGCGAGATGCCAATTCTTTCCACATCAGATTGTCATGATGTGGTGTGGGTGGCGTCGGACCATGTGTGGTGGAGCTGATCAGGAGGCAGGAATGCAGGCATGGATAACATAAAAATGGATTTAATAGCAGGATACGGCAGGATACAACAAGAACAACACGACAAACAACAATGATCCGACACTGACACATACAAGACGGCAGGTATAAATACACAGGGAAACAATCAGGAACACATGGGCAGGTTAACAAGGGGCAGGTGAGACCAAAAAACTAAACAGGAGGCAGGGGAGAGTCACAGTCAGAGGGAGGCAGGAGCAGATCGTGACACAGATAAGCATTTATGTGATAACCACTAGTTTCATGGTGCATCAGGGTTTTTGAAAGACACTGCCAGTTGTTATAACCCGTCACAAGGCGTGTGTCAGCAACTCTAGCTTCACCAAAAAGCTTACAAGCAAAACAATAGACTTTTAGTACTTTTGGAGTACAGTAACCAATCCCGTTCCACTTTCTCTCCATTGGACAGTAAACGAAAACAGTGTGCTTTGGAAAAACACCGTTTACTCTTCTCTGATCTTGGATATGGCCCACCAGGACATTTCGGTGGGCCATTCTGAACCATGTACTGCCTCAATGTGTCCTCAATTTCATGTGGTGAAGGCCATTCAGATGGATCTTTTAAATAAGGTCTTTCACCAGCCCTCTCCTCTGCACTTCTCTGTTCCTCTTCCTCTTTATCATGTTGACCTCTTTGTTCTTCTCCCTCTTCTTCATGTAGACCTCTATGTTCTCTCTCTCCTTCATTATGTGGATCTCTCTGTTTCTGTCCCTCTTCTTCATCATGTAGACCTCTCTGCTCCACTTCTCCTCCGTAGTCATTGACTTGCCTTGTCTGCCTGCACTTATTTTTCTTAAAGGACAAAAAGATGGTCAGTAAAATTCTAATCATACTAGAATTCCAGGTTTTTAATGGCCATTCTAGTATATGTATTCCTATCTGTCATGGTCTCAAGCATTATTTAACAGCTATAAATTACCACTCTTGAAAATGCACTTGATCATTATAAATAATATTTAAAAATTGATCACTTGGTATTAAGTGAGTGTTCACTTCCACCTAGTATTAGACCAACCTGTTGCCTTCCTATCTCTGTTCTGAATCTTTATATCTCTTTTTTCTTCTTTCTCTCCATCCGCACATCTGAATAATAAGAAATTTGAATTTAGAAATATTAAAAAAATACAAGACTCAAACTACATATAAAAACATTATGTTTTAGTTTAAAATTGCAGGAATTTAAGAGCAAATCTGAAGTGCATCACCCAATTCAATAATTTATCAGTATTATCACTCAACATCCAATTAAACAAAGGATTACTGTCAGAAAAACTAAATAACCACCCCTGGTTCCTTTATTTTTCTTGTGATTATCTATTACGTATTTTTTATTAGATCTAGCTGAATCAACACCCCCACCCCCCTCACCACCACCACCACCCCCGCTGCTCTCACGGAGATCCGACTACTCCCAGAAGCCTGTGTGAGATTAAAACCCTGATCTTGTGATCCATACAGAACACCCGTAACCTGTCATTTTACTAGAGGCAGGCTAGCAGCTTCAGCTAATAGAGCTAATAGGAATAATGCCTTCTTGCGAGATGACTCTCCTACTGTCTTTCAATCACTTAGAAAGGTTTTTTTTTCATCCCAACGAAATCATTTTTCCCTTTCCCTCTTCCGTTTTTTTTTGTGCCCAGGAGAGCTTTTTTTCGGACTTTCCATCTCTAGCTAACCTAGCTAGCTGATCAGATGACAGTAGATATCATTCAAATGAAAACACTCGCGCCCCAGCGCGTATTCGCGGGCGCACGCGCTGGACTCCTCAAGAGTGTTCACGTTCTGTGTGTGTGTGTGTGTGTGGGGGGGGGGGGGGGGGGGGGGGGGGGCGGCAGGGCTGCGGTGGGGCGCCCAATCGCTTGCTTCTGTTAATAATTATTTAATTTACACATGCACAATAGCTATGCAACACAAAAAAGCCCTTCCCCCCCATCAATGCTTAAGCGCACCCTCCAGCGCGGTGCCCCTATGCGTCGCATACACTGCATACCCACTTTTGGCGCCACTGACTGGTAACTTTAACAACCGAGCGTCTGCGTCGTTTTGGCTGCGCACGCGCACTTAACGCTTGCACTTAATTGAGCAGCCCTCCTGGCCCCGCCCCTTCCACACGTCACGTGAACAGCGTCTGCGTCCTCTCTTTATGACGTCACAAAGCCTCAAACTTCATTACCGTCATATACCTTGACCAGCACGTCGGATCAGTCACATTTCAGACCACGCCTCAGAGCAAACAGGTAGCATGGAAAACCTACATCATCCTCAGATAGAACCACTGAAAGAAAGGGAGAGATTGTTAATAAACTTATTTAATGCGGAACAAAAACTCAAAGATTTGAAAGAGCGCTTTGTAAGAGAGACTGAGCGTTCTG